CTCAAGTCTTCCTTCTTCTCTCAAACCTTCTCCACCTCCCCTACTCCTCAGTTCTCCTTAAGAATTAATCATTCCTGCCTTCCTGTGCCTGTGGCACTTTGAGAATAATTCCATTTTAACAATATATTATAATTAGTCAAGTTTAAAAATATGCACCATTCCCACATTCCTTGCAGCCTGATTGTCAGGAGCCAGATTTTATTCGTACCAATTTAATTTAGAGCAGGAACCAGATTTTATTCATGTTTATTTACCTACCACATAGCACATGGCAAGTATGTAATGGAAGAATAGAAATCTCAGCATGCTTCTTGTTACTGGAGGTGTTTAGTGAATGAAGTGAGGTCAAGTCACATTCATGGCTATGTTGTATAGGACCTGGTAGACCAAGGCAAGTAAGCACTCAGGGAACTATTTATAGTCTTTGAGCAGTGTTTCCAGAAGATTAATCAGGGATTGGAGGTGAGAGACCAATTAAGAGGCAATTATAATAGTACAGCTAAAGGCAATAAAGCTTGAACTATGGTAGTACCAATGATGATAAAGAGAAAACCATGAAAGTGGTCTGTCACAGTCCTTCTCAAATTTTAGTGTGCATAGCAGTCAACTGGGAATCTTATTAAAACACACAATCTGGCTCAGTAGGTCTGGGATGAGGCCTGATATACTGCATTTCTAACAAGCTCATAGCTGATGCCGGGGACTTATACCATCCAGCATGGTAGTCAGGTGGCTTTGAGGCACCCGAAATGCAGCTAGTGAGTGCAACTGAGAAACTGCATTTTTATTTTATTTTAACTAGTTTGAGTCTACATTTAACAACTGAATTGTGCAAAATATTTCTCCAGTAAGCAAAACTGTACTGTTTTGGTAGGATTACATTTCACTATAATTATTAAAAGTTAGCATCTGAATTGAGATGTGCTGTGAGTGCAAAATACATGCAGGATTTAGAATATTTAGTACAAACACGTAAAATAGCCCATTGTTTACTTTTATGTTGAGACATTTTGGATATATTGTATTAAATAAAATACATTGTTTAAAATTACTTTCACTTGTTTCATTTGTTTCTTTTCACTTTTTAAAATGTGACTACTAGAAAATTTTAAATTACAGATGTGGCTTGCATTTTATTTCTACTGGAACACAACGCCTTGGAGTCTTGCTGTGAGAGGCACAAAGCAGTGGCACTTAGGATCTAGCCTGGAACCTATTTTTAATGTGCAGAAGTCACATTCACCCACTGCACACTTGAACTGGTGTTTGTTTTCACAGTTTCACTACAGAGATGCCCAATTGACTCAAAGCATCTCATTATTGTTTATTTCAAACCTTTGCAAAACAGTGTTATAACGTTTCATCCTCACTAAATACCTGAGTAAATATGCAAGTAATTTCAATATTTTAAATAGAATATTGATGAATGAATTACCAGGGAAAAATGTACAAGAAGCAGATCTGAGATTAGAGATTATGTTCTTTAACATTTGTTTATGGTTGTTGCTGTAAATACTGCTTCCTCTAGAGAAAACTTTCTTTTCGTGTTTACTAAATTGATCCCTGGGGACTGACCTACAATGTAGAATCCCACATAGGTTGCATCACCCATGATATATCAACTCAGAACACACAATCCATTTTGCAAAGAGAACATTACCTGGGAAACCCTAATATCATGGGCTTAAACTACATCCCCCTCTGAGGTTTGTAAGCATCTTCAAATAGTATCTACAATATGAATGTTTAAAGCTTGTCTGGATAGGTGCAGTTCTTTTGATTAAAGCATGATTCAGTTTAAGAATCACTAAAATTAGTTCTTATACTGACAAGTCCATTCATTTCGTTAATTTATTTATTTATTAAGCATATATTCATATAAGAGCTACATGCAAGTCACTGTTTCAGATCGTTGGAATTTAGTAGTAAAAAGTTCTTGCTGCTCTCAGGTTTACATTCTAGAAATCTCTGGAGTGAAACATCAAAGCAGTCAATACATAATATGAAGTCAGGTGGTGATAAGTGATTTGAACAATGAGAACACATGGACACAGGGAGGGGAGCATCACACACCGGGGCCTGTCGGGGGGTGGGTGGCCAGGGGAGGGATAGCATTAGGAGAAATACCTAATGTAGATGACGGATTGATGGTTGCAGCACATGTATACCTATGTAACAAACCTGCACCTTCTGCACATGTACCCCAGAACTTAAAGTATTAAAAAAAAAAAAAAAAGAGTAAGGGAAGGAGAGGGGTGTGCTATCTTACAAAGGATGGCAGGATGGGCTTCCCTGAGGTGGTAATGTCTTAGCAGAAAACTGAATGAAATTAGGGACCTCCTGCCACAACAGGTTATGTAATAAAACAATGAAAGGATATCGGGGAAGAGCATTCAGTGCTGAGAACATTGCAAAAGCCAAAACCCTAAGGTGGGAGAGTGTTTGGTTCATGTGAGGAAGAGCAAGGAGGCCAGTGTGGGTGATGCTGGGCTCCCTCAGAGTGAGGCAGGAAGGGTAGGAAATTAGACCAGGGAGGAACTCAAGGACTGATCACACAGTGCTTTGTGGGTCATGGTAAGGACTTTGGTTATTTTTTTTAAGTGTGACGAGAAATATTTTGGAGGGTTTGGAGCAGGGGAGAGGAATTATCCAATTTTTGCCACAGGCTATCCACTTGTGCACTCTGGTTCAGACAAAACAGATGAATGAAAAAATATTAAATGTTTCAACCCAAATGTATCACCATTGCTTTTTTTTTTTTTTTTTTTTTGAGACAGAGTCTTGCCCTGTTGCTCAGGCTGGAGTGCAGTGGTACAATCACGGCTCCACTGTGGCCTTGAACTCCTGAGCCCAAGCAATTCTCTCACTTTGATCTCCCAAAGTGCTGGGTTTACAGGTGTGAACCATAACATCCATCCAACATACAGACTTTATTTCCTTTGAATACATACCCAACAGTGGGATTGTTGCATTATGCAGTTCTATTTTTAATTTTTTAAGGAGCCTCCATACTGTGTTCCATAATGGCTACACCAATTTATATTCCTGCCAACAGTGTGCAAGAGTTTCTTTCTCTCCATATTCTCACCTTTTGTCTCTGATGATAGCCATTCTAACAGGTGTGAGGTGGTAACTCATTGTTTTAATTTGCATTTCGCTGATGATTTGTGGTATAAAGCACTTTTTTATATACATGGCCATTTGTTTGTCTTGTTTTGACAAATATCTATTCAAATCTTTTGCCGATGTTTTACTTTTTTTTTTGTTTGTTATTGAGTGTTTGAGTTTCTTACATATTTTAGATATTAACCTCTTATCAGATGTATGGTTTGCAAATATTTTCTCCCACTGGACAAATTTGAACCCATAGATTGTCTCTTGGGTTGAAATATTTTCAATCCATGTTGTCTCTTCACTCTGTTATTTGTTTACTTTGCTGTGCATAAGCTTGTTTAACTTGATGTAATCCCATTCATTTATTTTGTTTTTTGTTGTTTGTGACTTTGGAGTCATATCTGAAAAATCATTGCTCAGACCAAGGTCATGAAGCTTTTTCCTAATGTTTTATTCTATCAATCTTACAGTTTCAGGTCTTACACTTAAGCCTTTCTTCCATTTTTAGTTGATTTTGTATGTGGGTTAAAATAAAGATCTAACTTCATTCTTCTGCATGTGGATATCTAGTTTTCTCAACACAGTTTTATTGAAGACACTGTTCTTTCCCTGTTGTGTGTCCTTGGCAACTTTGTCAAAGATCAAGTTACTGTAAATGCGTGAATTTATTTCTGGTTTCCCTATTTTGTTCTATTGGTCTATGTGTCTTTTATTATGCCAGTACCATGCTGTTTTGATTATCATAGCTTTGCAATGTATTTTGAAGTCAAACAGTGTGATGTCTCCAGCTTTATTCTTTTCATTCAAGATTGTTTTGGCTTTTTGGGGTCTTTTGTGGTTTCATATGAATTGCAGGGTTTCTTTTTCTGTTTCTGTGAAAAATGTAATTGGAATTTTTAAAGGGATTGCATTGAATCTGTCAATTGTTTTGGTAGTATAGACATTTTAACAATATTCTTCTAATCCATGAACATGTGGTATCTTTCCATTTATTTGTGTATTCAATTTCTTTCACCCAGATTATATAGTTTTCAGTGCACTGCTCTTTCACCTCCTTGATTAAAGTTATTCCTAAGTATTTTATTGTTGCCATTGTAAATGGGGTGGTTTAATAGATTTCTTTCCTGGATAGCTTGTTGTTGGTGGATAGAAGCTCTACTGTTGATTTTGTATCCTGAAACTTTAGTTTATGTGCATCATCATTACATCTCTTCACAACAGCTCTGAAGGAGGGATTTTTATGTATGTATTTACACCAAAAGGAGCAGAGGCAAAAAAAAATTAAGTAATTTTCCCCAGATAACACAAATATTAAGCATATTATACATGATTTGACATCAGAGCCATCAGAACCCTTAAAAGAATATTCTGTAATTTATTTAGCAAATTTCCTACTGTTGGGCACTTTGGTCGTTTCCAGTTTTTAAAAATATTGCTAAATACTGGCCTATGTTAAATATCCTTAGTCCAAATCTGTGTACATATTCCTCATAATTTTCTTCAGATAATTTCTTAGATGTATTTTTGGGGGATTAATGGGATTACACTCTAATACAAATCTGATATACGCATACCACGGAAAATTTGGAAAAAAAAGAAGAGCACAAAGTAATAAAGCAAAAAATCATTGATAACCTCACCTTCCGCATATCACCATATTTAACATTTTGTTCTTTCTTTCCAGTCTTTTATATTTGTACCTATGCACGTATTTACACATGTAGTATACACTATGTGTATATCGTATTGTATATATATACATATAATACATATATAGTACTATATATAACTATATTGAAACTTATATTTTACATTCTTATCTATTATAGAGAATTGTGTGACACCATTGCTACATGTACAAATATATACATATATTTTCATTGCAGATAATCGATTAATTAATTGTAGAAACCATATTTTGGAGTTTAAAGAAAATATGCTACACTTAAGAAACAAAACTGAAAAAAATAGCCAAGAGATGATGAAAGTTTTGAATCGAATAAAGTATGAAATTACAAAGAGAGAAAATTTGTCAGGAAACTTAGGTTTGTGTTGATTTTGTCTTTGTATATTGTGATTTGTTTGTTTTGTTTTGTTTTTGGAAATGTAGATTCAATGTCTTATGATTTTAGGGCATCTTCTCTCTACAAACTTAACTAAATCAGTACTGGTTCTTTTGTTGTGAGACATGCGAAAATCAGGTAAGAGATATCACTGACCTACTTTCTCTCATCTCGACCAGGAAGTAGTCTTCCTGTGCTTTCCGGCTCTGTGAATTGCACCACCATCCACGATCCATTCAAAAGATGCAACCAGAAACCTGAGGATCATCTCTGACCCCTCCCTCTGCCTCTTGCATACTTCCATGTCAGTAATAAGCAATCCTGGTTGGTTCACCATTCTATCTATCTCAAAAATTTGTCCACATTTTCTATCATCATTTCTGCTACATTAGTCAGGCAACCTTCCGGCTTTATCTGAGTGACTAGTAACATACAGCTAATTTTTCTCATATAAACCTTCAGTGGCTTTCCATTTCTCCAGGACAAAAATTCCTGCCTTGTGCATCCCCTTTGTACTCCAGTCCTCCCCCTACTCTTAATCCCTGGCAACCACTGATTAGATCTCTGTTCTTATTGCTTTGCCTTTTCCAGAAGCCATACAAATGCAATCAAACAATGTGTAACCCTTTGAAACTTGCTTCTATCACTTAGCATAGAATTCACCCAAATTGTCGTGTGACCAATTGTTCTGTTTTTAGTGCTGAGTAGCATTTCATTGTATCAATGTTCAATGGACATATTGTTTATCCTCTCACCAATTGAACGGCATTTGGGTTGTTTTCAGGTTTGGGCAATTAAAAATAGATGTTCCTATAAGCATTTATGACATGTGTTTGGTATGAAGATAAGTTTTAATTTTTTTACAATTAATATGTAGAAGTAGGATTGATAGGGCATAGGTAAGTATATGTTCAATTTTATAAGAAACTGCCATACTGTTTTCCAGAGTGGCTGTACCATTTTTCACTCCCTCCAGCAATGTATGAGAGTTTTAGTCACTCCAGTTTATTATAGCCATTTTTTAAAAATAGGCTCTTGCTCTGTTGCCCAAGCTGGAGGGCAATGGAGCAATTATGGCTCACTGCAGCCTCCGCCTCCTGGGCCCAAGCAATCCTCCTATTTCAGTCTCTCAAGTAGCTGGGACTACAGTCATGTGCTACCACACCTGGCTAATTTTATTTTTTGTAGAGATGGGGTCTCTCTTTGTTGCCCAGGCTGATCTTGGACTCCTGGCCTCAAGCAAGCCTCCCACCTCAGCCTTCCAAAGTGCTGAATTATGGGACCATGCCTGTCCTATTATAGTCATTCTAACGTCATGATATCTCATAGCTTTATGTTGCATTTCCCAGAAACTAATGATGTTGAACATTTTTACTATTTGCCATCTAGATGTCTTCTTTGGTGAAATGTCCGTTCAAATGCGGAATGCAATGGCACAATCATGGCTCACTGCAGCCTTCACCTCTGAGCTCAAGGGATCCTCCCACCTCAGCCTCCTGAACAGCTGGGACTCCAGGCACATGCCATTATGCCCCACTGTGTGTGTGTGTGTGTGTGTGTGTTTAGAGATGGGGGTTTTGCTATGTTGCTCATGCCGTTCTCAAACTCCTGTTTTGCCAGTTTCTTTAATTGGGTGATTTTGTTTTCTCACTGAGTTTTAAGAGAGTGCTACACATTATCCTGGATACATATCAGATGGATATGTGACTTGGAAATACTTTCTTCCAGTTGGTGACACTCTTTCATTCTCTTTATGATGCTTTCAGGGGCAAGCATTTTTAATTTTTGATGAAGTCTAATTTGTGAATTTTTATTTTATGTATTTTGTTTTTTGTGTTGTTATATTGTATCTAAGATCTCTTTACCTATCTCAGGGTCATGAAGGTTTTCTTTTTTGTTTTTCTTTATTAAAAATTCATAGGTTTATGTTTTACATTTATGTCTATGAACATTTTTAAGTTAATTTTTATAAACAGCATGAAAAACAAGTCAATGTTCAGTTTTTTCCACATAGATGTCCAAGTGTTCAAACACCTTTATCAACTGTCTTTTCTGCAGTTACCTTTGCAACTTTGTCTTAAGTCAGTCAACCATATTTTTGTGAACTTACTTCTGTATTCTATGGTCTGTTCCATTGTTTATATATCTATTTTTTATATGACACTGTTTTTACTACATTGTTATTTATTATGAATTAAAATTGGGCAATGTGTGTCCTCTAACATTTTCTTTTTCAAAATTGTAGAGGCAAATTCTAATGAAGGTTACAAATACAGTCATTAAATTTTAGGGTCTACAAAGCAAAGCTATAAAGATACAAATTTAATAAAGTGATATTAATCAAAGTAGTAGAGTAAACCAATTACAGCATGTTTCAGTTATACTTCTTTCATTTGGAATTGACAGTTCTATTGTCCTCCATGTATCTTATAATTCTAGGCTTAAATTAAATATTACTTTATAAATAAATATGAATCAATAATAGTTGAGCTATATTTTTAGCATTATTATTTTGACAATTTACATTTTGGAGTATTTCTTTTATATATTGAATGCTAAATGAATCTGTGAGTTTATTAACACCCCTTTAAAAAAATTATTCCAGAGGGAGAAAAATCCTTATAATCATATACTCAGAAGCATTATTTTTTTTTCTTTCAGTTGCACAGAAAGCAGACATATTAAATAAAAATGAAACAGTATCTAATACATTTGAAGACTTAAAGTTCTTTTTTCCTCATATAAGGAAAGAAGGCAGAATTTATCCTGATGTAATCATTGGCAAAGGGAAAACTGGTGGTAAGAAAACTTAGAATTGGAAAATTAAATACAGGTATTTTGATCTTTGGGGACATACTTTTAAGTTTTAAGATGTAACCCATTAATATCTTAGATTGATACGCAGACTACCAGCCTATCTGGCATTAATTTGGATTACTGGAAGTCAGTATATTGTCTGGCAGAAAATAATAGTTTCATAAACATTTGGTGACTTGAATTCAAATTTAACTTAATGCAAATGCTTTGAAAATAAGAAATATAAGTCAAATATAACTAAGCATATGCCAAATGTCTGGCAAATTTTTTCTCCTTGGTTTTGGTAAATCTATGCTTACCTGGTTATTTTCCTATTTCCCAGTCTTTCTGGAGACCAAGGTCAGTAATAGCTTTATAGAACAGGTGATGCTTGAGGTAAGCCTTGACACATAAGTTCAGGTTCACCAGGTATACAAGACAAGAAGCTTTGGAGTTTGAAGCAGGAATATTAAGCTAAGCCTCAGGATACCTGCCATTCCTATAAACCTCACTCATTCCAGTGAGTGAGTCGCTCTAGGCCAGGCCCATCGGCTCCATGTTTTAACACACAGTTTCGTTGGAACATAGTTATGCTTATCCATTTACTTGTCTATGTCTGCTTTTGTGCTCCAATGGCGGAGTTGAGTAGTTGCAACAGAGATGGTATAACCCAACAGCCCAAACTGCTCACTATCTGCCCCTTTATTTAAAAAAAAAAAAAAAGTTTGCTGACTTCTGTTCTAGACAGTTCCAGAGGAATAAGTAGTGTTGTTTTGTATCATATGCCTCTGATGACATCGTTTATCTACTGCGTTCTGCGTTCCATTTACTGAGTTCTATGTTTTCTTACATTATCTCATTTAATCTTCACAATCCAGTGCAATAGGGCCTATTATTGTCATCTGTTTTTTACACCTGAAAAAACTGAGGCTTAGAGAAATTAAGAAACTTCTTGAGTTCATACTTGTAAAACTCTTTACCTGCATATACAAATACATGCATACGTGTGTGTGAATGTATGAGAAAGTACAAAAGCTACAGTTTGTAGGATGATGAAAAGCTGAAAGACGCAAGCAAGAAGAACAATGCATAGAAGTGATAAGATATTAGATACTAAGAATAAGCATAGCCTTGCATAAGCATCATCAAATGTAAGTGGAAGCCCATGACACAGTGTGAAAGGAAGGAGGGAGAGACAGGGTGCTGTTTGGGAGAAGCAATAGACCTTCTTGTATAGGGAGTTGGAGGGTTGAGGTAACCCAGTTATCGGAGCTGTGTTAAATCCAGAAAAATTTTCTAATTCCCCAACTATTTCCTGATCTTCCATCATGATGTATATATTTATCCTTGTTTTGAGGCCCTTTTGGTGGCTTTACTCAATTACCAGAAGCAATATAAGGAAGATTCTGTTACAGGCAACTAAAAAACTCCTAACACATGAAACATATGTAAGAGGATTGAAGCCTGTGGCAAGGTCTACTAGGGAATCCATCATCAGTCTTGTTTATTCTGTATTCTGAATAGATCTCAGATAATTTCTGCCTTCTGAAGCCCCTCTGTAACTATTTTTTATTGAGCCCGTCATCATTTTTTGCCTGGTTTATGGAAACATATTTGTAATTTCTCTCGTGATTTTGGTATCACCAAAATCAATCCATTCTTCATACTTTCCTCAAAGATATGTTAGTAAAATTCATCACCGATCATACTTGACTCTTGCTTAAGATCCTTCAGTAGACCCTCAGTGCACATGAGGTGAAGTTAGCCCCTTGGCAGGGTATATGCACAAAAGACTATATCTTTCAAATCTCAGTCTCTGCCATGCCTCTCCTTTCCAGAAACCACAAACCACTTGCAGTTCTCACAGATAGGCCAGGCTCTTTGAGAACAGATAGGACAAGCTTCATATATTCTGCATGTGCTAACCACTGCCTATAATGAACATCCCTCCTCTGGCAAACCATAACTGATTTGTAATGTGACTCCCTTATCCAACATGACTTTTCAGCTTAAATGACAACTTCTCTGTGAATTCTTCCATGTCTCCTCATTTAATAAGCTTCTACACTGTTCTGGGCACTTCTTAGGCCCTGGGATATGGGGTGAACAAGACATAGACCCCACCTTCATAGAGCCAAATGATAAGGTAATTATAATATAAAGTGACTAGTGCTGTGATAAGGGAAATACCAGGGTGGAGCCAAAATCCTATGCTATGCTTTCTGGAAGAAGTGTCATATAAGCGACACGAAGGGTAAAAGAATTGGAATAGAATAAGTAAGAAAGTGGTGGGCGGTGGACAGCGGAAAGTAGAGGGTGGTCATCCAGACAGAGGAAAAGAAACGTGCAAAAGTCAGGTGGCAAGAAGGCCTAGAAAGGATGTGTGTCTTGCATGCACAATTGGGGCTGGAGGGTATAAGTAGCAAGACCATGGACACAGGCCAAATAATAAAGGGGCTTGCCCATTTATTGTTTGTTCATTTTCAACTTATTATCATTACCATGTGGCAGTCTTTATGTTAGTGCTGGATTTATAATGTAAGCACACATGAAGGTTTCTCTGCTGTCACCAAGCTGACATTCTAGATAGGAATGAGTAACAACCGAAGGGGTGATGAGTACTATGAAAGATAAGGTAAGAATGCATAGCTGGTGAAAGGATTAAGTAACAATTTGTGATCCAATGACTAATATTTAGTTGAATCCTGAGAAATAAGTAGAATTATCAAAGGAAACTAGACGAAGAAGAGTATTCTAGGCAAAAAGAATGGCGTGTGCAAAGGCTTCGAGCTGAGAGTGGTATTTGGTCAATTCGAAAAGTGTGGGTAGTTGAAAAAAAGGGATAGATCAGGACCAGGTCACTAAGAGCCTTTTAAACTCTTGTAAATGCAATGTAAGCCATTCCAGGAATTGCCTTTATACTGTAGCTTACGGCTTGAAACTTGATTCCTGCCTCAACCTATCCATAAAAATCAATTCCAGGTGGATTGCAGCTCTAAATATGAAAGGCAAACAACAAATGATTAGAAAATCACTCAGGAGAATGTCTTTATGACCTGAAGATAAGCAAAGATTTCTCAATAAGACCCAGAAAACCCAAACAATAAAGAAAATGGATGACAAATTGCACTACATAAAAATTAAGAATTTCTCTTCATCAAGGGGCAAAACAAAGAAAAAGGAACCAAGAGTGGGAGATAATATTTAACAATAACACATATAACTGACAAGGGGCTCGGATTCAGAATATATAAGGAGTATCAATACAATCAACAAGAAAAATGCAGACAACTCATTAGAGAAATGGGCAAGAGCTTAAACAAGGATTTTACAAAAGAGAATATCCAAAAGCCAATAAGTAGCCCTGCACGGTGGCACATGCCAGTAATCCCAGCACTTTGGGAGGCCGAGGTGGGCAGATCACTTGAGGTCAGGAGTCTGAGACCAGCCTGGTCAACACGGTGAAACTCTGTCTCTACTGAAACAACAAAAGTTAGCCGGGCATGGTGGTGCACGCCTGTAATCCTAGCTACTCAGGAGACTGAGGCAGGAGAATAGCTTGAACCTGGGAGGTGGAGGTTGCAGTGAGCTGAGATTGCGCCACTGCACTCCAGCCTGGGCGACAGAGTGAGACTCCATCTCAAAGAAAAAAAAAAAAAAGCCAATAAACATATGAAAATATGTTCAAACTCAGTGGCAACCAGGGAAACACTGATTCCTGCTGTTCCTTCCAAAGTTCCACGGTTTTTCTTAAATAAATACTTCTCAGTTTATCAGGGCACTGAAATGACTGTTTTGACCTTTTTTTTTTTTTTTTTTTTTCCCCAGTTTTATTACTGCTTTCTAGAAAGGATTTTCTGAGCTTCTCACTTGGCCATTCTGGAAGTCCTTATCCCTATCTTAAAGGTGGGGACATCAGGCTGGAGAGGTTGTATATCTTGCCTAAGCCCATATGGCCAGGTACTGGTATAGCTAGGATTGGTAGCCTCAATCTTAGCTGCACCCATACATCCAAGATGTGTACATCTTGGAGCTCTAGTGCTCCAGTTATTCTTGGGCAACAAAAGTTACTTAGAGGTATGGATTCATTCCATCAAATCATTTAGAAATTACTTCATACATTTTTTTCACAGATGAAAATATTTCATAGTGATTTTTTCCTGTTTTGAGTCCCAGCGCCTTGTTAGGAAAAGAAGAGAGAATCTGCCAATATGTGACATTTTATACCCAGTTAGATGAAGCTATAGTAAGTGGAAAGTGGTTAGTTTTATTTTCGCTACACCAAAATCTTTTAATATGAGAACGTCTTGGAGTCTATTTAGTGCTTTTACTAACAATCCACTGCAAATTTCCTCAAAAAGAAAATGAAATATGTGATAAAAATTAACACAGTTTGGATTATTTTTGTAATACAGTTTCAAACACTCATTTTATTACCATAAGACTAACCCAAACATAGGAATAAGCATAGAATGCATGCTAAACTGTGTTTTTCTCTGTGGTATGGAATGATGATTTCATACTCCTATGTCCGCAGTTTCTTTTGCGCTGGGTATTTCCACTGTTAATAGAGGAAATTATAGTTACCTGAAACAGACACTGACCTCTGTTGTCTCCAGGATGACGCTCTCCGAAGAGAAGGATTCTATAGTGATTGTCTCGGTCGCAGATGTATGTATACAAAATAAGGAGATCTCCTTACTCTCACCCTATGGTCTCCAAATTCCCTTCCTCAATGGTAATATTCATTGTACCATGTTGAAAATTGTTTTCTTAATTTTAAAAAACAACCCATCGATGCCTTTTTTGGATCCCAGACAATATACTTAATACTTCTTCAATACTGTTGAGAAGGAATTAAATATGTAAATCTAAAAGGAAAACATAATGGCTTCATGTGGGAAATAGAAGATTGCTAAATTTGAATTGCATTTAATATAGAATCCCTGCCTACTATGTGGCTCAGAAGTTATATTTACAAACAAAATTAAAATTATTAAAATCGATGCTAGTAATACAATGTGCCCAGTCCAATAAGAGGTTCGTATATGAATCAAGAGATAGTTTGTATTAAGTAACAACAGCTATGATTAGAGACTTCCTTATGCTTGAGAGATGGTAGATGATTTTTATAGACATTTATAACCTGTGTTACATCCCTGTGAAGTAAGTATTACTGTCCTGATTTTAGGGATAATGGACCTAGAGCTTAAAGAAGGTAAGTAACTTGCGCAGTAATTAATAGAGCAGATTCAAGCCTAGGTCTCTTTAATGGCTCCAGAGATTTCCACTTTGTTCCTAACACCATTTAAAAGTATAAAGTACTGTGTGAACATCAGCACCATAAGACTTTTTGGAGAGAAATTTGGCAACCTGTGTTAAATTTAAATGTGTATATACTTTATCTCAGAAATTCAAATTCTGGGAACTTATCCTAAGGAAATAATCAGGCAAGTGTATAAAAACAGGAAAAATGGTTGGGATTCATGCCTGTAATCCCAGCACTTTGGGGTGCTGAGGCAGGAAGATCACTTGAGCTCAGGAGTCTGAAATCAGCCTGGGCAACATAGCGAGATCTCCATCTCTACTGAAAAAAAAAATTAATAACTAGATGTGATAGTGTGCAACTCTAGTCCCAGCTACTTGGGAGGTTGCAGCAGGAGAATCATTTGAGCCCAGGAGATAGAGCCTGTAGTCAGCTGTGATTGCACCACTGCACTCCAGCCTGGGCTACAGAGCGAGACCCTGTCTCAAAAAACAAACAAACAAAAACCCAGTAAAAATATGGCAGTATAGTATGGAAGTTGAGAACAGACTCTGGATTTAGATGACCAAGGTTAAAATGCCAGCTTCTCTACTACCCAACCAGTGAACTTGAGCAACTTACTTAACTTCTCTATGACTCACTTTCCTTTATCCCTAAAATTGTGATAATCCTATTGCCTATATCATAAGGTTGTTGGGGGATGAAATTAGCTAATATATTGAAAGTACTTAGAATGATGTGTGGCACAGAGTGAGTGCTCAATACATAATTATTTCAAGGATTTTCAGTGCACCCTTGTGTTATGAAAGCATAATATTAGAAACAACCAAAATATCTACCCATAAGAGGCTGATAAAATACCTTGTTATATATCTCTACAATGTAATACTCTGTAGGCATTGAAAGAAGAATGAATATCTATACTCACTGATATAAAGTGATGTTCATGTCCTATTGTTAAGTGAAGAAAAGCTGTAAAGCATCATGTTTAGCATAATGTTATCTATATAAAATAGGAATGAAGGAAGGAAGGAAAAGATGGAGGGCGGGGAAAAATATACAGAAACAAATGAAACATACGAAGAAAACAGAAAATGAGCAAACTTTGGAATAATGTAAATGTATCATTAATATAAATAATGGTTATCTCTAAATGCTGGGATTAAGAGGAATCTTTGTTGTCTCCTCTTTATTCTTTTTGCTATTGCTTGAATTTTCTGTAATAAAGATGTCTTTGAATGCAGAAAAAACTCTAAACAAAACAAGCAATAGAGGAACTATTAGAAAAATAGAAATGAAAGATTCAAGTCATTGCATCCAGGTTTAATTTATTAATAGTAAAAGAAAGCATGCACATAATCTCCAAAATGTTTCATCCTATTTCCTTATTTTATATATTAGAATATTTATTTCTTTGCTGTTAGGACAACACATGTCTGTCTAAAATGTTCAGATTTGTTTAATAAAACATTGGAGGAAGATTTTTAAATGGAATATAAAATGCTTACAAAATATGACTTTGATGCTGTGTTTAAAATATAATATGTTTCAGTGTGTGACAAATAGCCAGTGATTCAATTTATGGTTAAGAGCCTCCAGTACTATAATAGATTTATCTACATCGTGTCTGATATTTTTAAACAAGAAACTTGAGTACATACATCCAGAGTTGCCTTTCAGAGTACTCGGATTCAACAATAGAACTGTCATGGTTGAAAATATTTTCAAAATTTTGTATTGGAAATGCTTATGGGCCCTGAGGCTACATCTTGTAAATGCCATGTTACTTTTTAAAAAATTATCCCAAGAGGGTAAACCATCAAAAGCTTTTTGCAGGAGTCTGTCATCTAATCTAGCACACTGTTCAATGAAGAGCAGGCCCACAAAGTTTATTGTCAGGAAGGTAAATGGGAATCAAGCTGAGTAATACTGTCTGGAGAAATATGATGTAATTTTGAAGTAAGCTTATTGTCATTTAATACTGACGAAAGGAAGAGTAGTTTTCAAAAAGAGTAGTTCTTTGAAATAAGCCATTCATAGATGACCATTTTTAGACCAAAACATCTTTAGATATATAATATTTTATGTAATCTTATATATCTAAAGGGTATATAATTTTAAGGGTAAGCTTTTAAGGGTAAATTTTGGATTGTAATATTTCACATTGTGGCAAAGGGAAAAGAATGAAATATTTCCTGTATTCAAGTCAAATTTTTTTGAGAACATGGATGTTTTTAAATCTTTTAATAGAAAGTAAAAACACTAAAATTATTAGTATGTAATAACATTTCACACACAAATTAGATTTATATGTAGCAAAAAAGTTGTATTAATAGAACTATGAGACATGCTTAGTATCAGTAAAATATTGTTTCTCATTTTTAGAGTAATGAAGATTATTTACATTCTGTTGTTAAAATGATTACAAGAAAGTAAGTACTGTCTGATATATTTTTAAATTAGCCACTTTCACTTTTCTGTCTTTTTTTCTGTCCAATTGTATAATTATTTTCTTAGTGATCATATTCCTTTTAATGAGTATAGCTGTGCAGAAAGAACCTGTAGTCCTTTCTAAGCTGTAATGAAGTATGGCTTAATGGTTTTCCCCAATTTTGCTGGATATCTACCAATTAGAATTTATATTTTTCATGTTATACTGTTTATCCTGCATGATAACCATTGGTATGAGAGAAGCCTATTGAGTTATTTTTAAAACACTCCTGTATCCTTTACTGTATGAAGTTACTTCACCACTTCTGCTTATAATCTTTAGCTGTAAGCAGCCGAAACACATATGGATTAACCAATATGAAACAAGATGCTGTGGAATGGACCCTGCCTCCCAAATCCTATGTTCAAATGGGTGATGCAACTTGAAAAAGAAACAAAAAGAAAGGGGAGAGAGAGAGAGAGAGAGAGAGAGAGAGAGAGAGAGAGAGAGAGAGAGAGAGAGAGAGAGAAGGAAGGGAGGGAGGGAGGGAGGGAGGGAGGACAAAGGAAAGGAAAAGGAGGGCCAGGCATGGCGATTCACACCTGTAAGGCCAGCACTTTGAGAGGCCGAGGTGGGTGGATTGCTTGAGCCCAGGAGTTCGAGATCAGCCTGGGCAACATGGCCAAACCCCGTCTCTACTAAAACAAATAGCCCCCAAAATTAGCCGAGCCCTGTGGTGTGCACCTGTAGTCCCAGCTACTAGGGAGGCTGAGGTGGAAGGATTGCCAGTGCCTGGGAGATGGAGGCTTCAGTGAGCCAAGATCATGCCACTGCACTCCTGCCTGACAGAGTGAGACCCTGTGTCAAAAAAAAAATTATAAAATAAAGAAAGGAAGGAAGAGGCTAGCATTGTCCCAGTGGTAATGGGGAATAAATATGACAACATGTAGAGGAAGAAGTATTTAACTCTACCTGCAAATATTAAGAAGGACTTTCCTGAGAAGGTAATAACTGAGCAGAGTCTGAAGGAATAAGTAGACATTCTTCAGGCAGACAGGGGAAAAAGGTCATGCCCGATAAATAGAATTGCTGGGGAAGACAGACAGATCAAAGAAGGAGCATGCTAGACTTTTGAACATGAAAGTCTATTTTGGAAATGGGTATTTGGAGTTAAGGCGGAAGGACTGGTGGGAGATAAGGCAAGGGCTGATGACGTCACGAAGGGCCTGTGCACCATGCTAAGGAATATGCACTCTGTGCTGTAGACCAGGGCTGCAAATGTGGCCTTCAGGCTGAATCTGGCTGACAGGCACGTTGCACGTGTTTCGTTTAGCCAGTAAAGTGTTTTGCTTGTTTTACTTTTTCTCACCAAATAGCTCTAGTGTCTGAGGCAGTTAGTTGTTCTAGTCAAAACGATTCCAGCTAATAAGTGTAGAATGAATGGAATTGGAGAATCACCGTTTTGAAGCGCAGCCTTAAGTCAGAGAGGGTGGGGGGAACTTTACGAGGAAGTTATGCCTCTCAGTGTCCGCACAGGAAAACTCCTGGTCGTTCAACTAGAGGAAACAGGGAATTTCACACAAACAATTGGTCAAAACAAGTTTCAGAGGACTGAGAGTGCGGAAGGGAGAAGAAAGAGCACAGAGCAGCGTGAAGGAGAGGGCGTTAAGCCCGGGGATCAGAGGCTCTGGAGGTCGGCCTCCTCAGCAGCTGGAACCTCCGCCGCCGCGGGAGCTGAAAGAGGAGGAGCGTCCTCGGCTTCTACTGCCTTCCAGTCTCTTGTCACTTACTGCTTCCCGCAGGCAGAGGCCAACCGGTACCCCGCTAGCAAGGGCGCCCCGCAGGTCAGGACGCACTGCGGAGCAGAGGGGTGCGACGTGCAGTGTGAGCTGAGAATAGCCAGGGTTCAGGGACCCCACCCTCACCTCCAGCAGCTCGGGGTCGCTGAAAGTCTGGCGACGAAAATGATGCCAAGAAAGAACTATTTAAAGTTATTCTCCCGACTTAAGCAAAACAACAAAACAAAACAAAAAACCCTGAATGCAATCAAACCTTAGGAGCTGAATTCCAGTTTACGGGATACACAGCAATTAAAGGAAGCCATCTGGGGCAAAACAATCAAGATATGGGACCTTCTGTAGGAAACTGATCCAGATTCTTTAAAAAGTGGAATGGGGATGGGGGAAGAAAGAAAAATGAAGGTTACCGGTCTAGATAATAAATTTTAAAAAGAAATAGGGATAATCAATTACAATGAGCGACCTTGTTTGGGTACTTGTTTGAGCACCTACTCCCCAAAAATAGGCACTGTTTAGACGGCTGGGGACATTCGAAAATTGACTAAGTATTACGTGATGTTAAACAATCATTTATAGTTTTGCAAAGTGTGAATATTGGCATTGTAGTTATCTAAATAAATGTCCTTTTTAATATTCACACTGAAGAAAGTAAGGGCGAAATGATATTCAGCACTTGTTTTAAAATAAGCAAAAAAGGGGCAGCTGCATAGATGAAACAAACGTGGCAGAAAATTAATGCTTATTGAAGGAAACTGATATGGGGTTCATTATATTTCTATTTTTGTGGATGTTTGGTAGTTTTTGTAATACATATTTAAAGAATTGAATGTAGACTATTCTCAGTAAGTTCAACTGATAGGAAGAAAAGTCAAAGCACACTGTCTTGAGGGAGACAAATACTGTTTGGGAGGTTTTGAGGTGGAAGCACCTGGAGTTTTTACTTGTGCTGTAGTAGAGAGAGGAGGGGCTGATGAAGCAAGGCAGGAGGGAACTGGAGACTCAGGCAGAGGGAGCTTTAGACAGGACTGAGACCAAAGAGGAGATGAGAGCAGGTGAAAGAGTAGAAAAATTAATTTGTTGGGGAAAAGACAGTGTAATCACCTTAAAATTCCTTTTTTAAAGATTTCTCTTTTCCCTGTGAAGGAGGTAAGTCCCTGTGTTGAGAAGGAAGGATTTGTTGACAGTGAAGGAACTTACGGTAGTGAAGGCTTGAAATAGGTGATTTATGTGAAGGGAGAGGGATTAAATAAAGACTAAATAAAACACCATACACATCTAGTATTTCCCCTGAAAGACTCCCCAGGAAAAAAGTTACCTTATACTTGAACCCTTAAAAATCTTCTCCTAGTCAAGGATGCCTTCTCAGTTATTTTGCTTTATTCTGAATAATAAACTACTATTTAGAGAAGACACATTATCCTGAAGTGGCCTCAATCTATGCTAGTTTGGTATTCTTATAGGAGACTCCTGACATAATCAATTAAAAAGAAGCAAAGGTGTAAAACGATTCCTGGGTATATGACTACATCATTGTAAGCCTTTTGAAGATCACTTAAAAAAATTAGAGTATGTGGTTACTTGTAAAGATCTCCAATGAAAACGTTACCTAATGTATGCGAATACTTCTGATTTGCTACAAAATTTTCAGAGACAATGTCACTGGTTTTAGAAATTGCTGTATTGTAATTAGAATTGAAAATCAAGGATACTGGAAAACTATGTCAGGTGATTCAAAAAGTTATTCTAGTGGTGATAATTATATTGATAATACCAATGCAGAATAAACAGTTGGAATAAAATTATTTTTGTGAAAGTAGAATAAAGCAATAATTTAAAATTAACACATTAGTGAATATTCAATTTAAAACATTATCTAAGATAATATAGACATACAACTTTTAAATTTACGTGTCTCAACTTTTGCCTATTTAATTTAGCTAAAAACCCTTTTCCTAGATCTTCTCATTAGGGTAATGAGAGATTGTTCTATGTTTGGATTAGTCCTAAATTGAAAATATAATTTTTAAAGGACCCATCTATGTTTGTATATAACCTTATATGAAACTGTATATAACTATGTACTTTACATAAACCTATAGAGTTGTAAGATTTCTACTCTTGTATGACTATAAGGTAAAATCATTCATTTTCAATGGCAACAACCTAGAGTTACATTATTTTCTCCAGTCATTGGAAACTAGCAATTCCCATATAATTAAGTCAAGGGCTTTTGATGCTGTATGTAAATAACCTAACAAGCTATAAAAGTTTTAGAGTCCTAGAAAGGTGTCAACACACAAAATTTCCAGTATCTTGCTTAAAACAAATGAATAAAACCAAGACTGGAATCTTTCTGTCCATCGTGACTGGGAAATTATATCATCAAAGTAGAAATTGTTGTATCTTTTGGTGCTTTTTGGACTTTGGATGGAATTTTCTAGAGGTCAAAATTTGTGTATTTCTGTAATCTAAACTTTTTGATGATTGTGTATGCTGCAACTTGATGTTATTTCCCTTTACCACTACTAAATTGCTGCACGAGATCTTGTAGTTTAAAGTTACACAAATTCATTTGAAAATTTAGATATCATGTTACTAACTTTTACCACAAAACAACCAACCAAACTCTCCATTCTTTTTTTTCCATACCAGTATTTTCTATTCCCCAAGGAACATATTAGAATTCATTTTTTAAAAACCTTTTCATTTGATATATCATAAAATCAGAGGGCAGCCGGTAAGACTTTGATCCCTTTCACTCCTCCACTTACACTCCCACCAAAATAAATGACCGGAAACTTTTCCACTAATGTATAGAGCCTGGAAGAATTCCAGCATGTATTTTGAACAGTTCTTTCCCCCCAAAGTTTCTAAGTTGCTATTCCAGTTTTACAGATGAGGAAATTAAAGATAGAAAAAATAAATTACTTGCTCGAAGTTAGGAAGTAAAAGAAGCAAAATTGGCACAGAGACTTTTCTAGGTCTAATACCCGTATATTATCTCTAGCACAGTATGCTACTCCAACCCCATTTTCATGATACATACCCATTATAAAACATGAGCTTTCTTCCATTTGTGTTTGTGTGTCTTTATACGTGCTCAGGCAATCCTTGATTTGCAAGATAGCGTGGCCATAAAAATGATTGTGCAGGTTTAAACCATGCAAGCCAATATTAACAATGGGGAAAAAATCACAATTGTTCCATGACATTTAAACATGTGTTAAAACATTACTCTCTGTCAACTATAAATACATAGAAAACTTTAAAATATTGTTAAGCTAATTTATTACACTGTAATTTAAAACATTAAAATTATTGAGCATTAAAGTATTTTATTTCTTTTAAAAATTTTATCGAGTCGTTTAAATTGTCCTTGCCTTTTTCTTATCATAGAACTTAAAACACTGAGCAAATGTCTTTTCTATGCTTCAGCAAATTGTTATATTCCTTTCTAAGTTTGGATCAGTTACAGCATTTTATCATTTGCGTTTTCAGTGTCATGAAATATCTCTGAGAGTTCCTTTAATGTGAAGTTTTTCAGCAGCATCATTTCCTATGTGACATAATTTCACCACAACCATTTTTCTTATTTGTCATTTAAGTTCACCTTCACTAAGTTCCCTATGTTGCATCTCTAGAGTCTCTCAGAAAGAGGAGGTGTCAACGTTCCCGTGATCAGCTCTTTTATAGCACATCCAAATTCACTTCCAGCATTCACTTTCTGCACTTTCATCTGTCAGCCACTTCCCTCTTTGGATTACCTACTTTTGTTAAATATCATGTAGGCCTATCACTGGGAGGCAAGGCAAGGCAACCACATGTTTTGCTGTCAACAAGTGAACTAAATAGCAGACGTACAGAGACCAGTCACCAAAAGACTTTGAAAGAAGTGATCCAATTAGTCACTAAGGATGATGTGCATCTGCTATTTATATAGTGATTTGTGCACTAAAGAGCTAGCAGTGAAGTTTGTACTTTACACAAGTATTCACAATATATCATGACTACAGTGTTGTTGCGGGAGACTGGTGTTATTTAACTAAAACACAGTAACTGAAATTTATGCATTCAGAATTGTGCAAAGCAAGGACTGCCTATTTTGCACATAATGGGGATTACGCATATAAAACTGTAACCTTTTAAATTTTTTACATAATACAAAATAAACATTTCCTTGAACTTTTAACATGTTAATGAATAATGTAATGCCTAAATTCCAATCTCATTTAAAATCACATTATCTCTAAAGGAAGACCATTTAAAATTTTCTAGTTGGTTTCCCATCCTTTACCTTGATGGTACAAGATTTATATTGGAATTTTTGTGAATCATATTTTATGTAGTTTAGTGATGTCCTTGTTGGTCTCTCAACATTAACGTTTAAAAACAAAGATGCTAAAGAGTATACATAGTCCTCCAATGAGTTGTGGACGAGAGTCTGACTGAATCCTTGCTTGCTGTGATAATCTAGTCTCAGGAGCCACATTGCTATTCAGTGGGACTCTTACTCAATTCAAAATTATGCATTTAAAAATGATCTAATGTTCTTGCTGTCTTGCAGTGACTGTGTTATCACAACCCATGAGCTTCGTTGTTTCAAATGTCACAGTACACATCTGACTGGAAACTTTAAAAAGTCAAAGTACCTGTAATTTTTATAAGAAGAAACTGATTTTACGTTGTGTATTTTAATATGTCTGTTATTAATTTATAGAAAACATCCTTTGGCTAGTTTTATGATACTGGTATCATGTATCAACATGTGATATAATTCAAATCAAATACTATGTAAACATGCATAAGAAAATTATTTTTAAATATATTATTCTGGAAAATTAAATATTCAATTATAAGTCTGCATTTACTTCTATTTATAGATTCAAAAGGCAAGTGAGGTCTGGATCCTTAGAGGTCATTTCAATACCTGCCTTTTTATACTCAAGTATGTTAAATGCCAAGCACTTAGCTGAGGCCTCACAAAAATTAGCCAGGTATGTCATATTAGAAAATAGTAGCCTTAAATAACTAATTTCATCTGATAAAATCTTGGAATCAGCTCATACTAGAAACTATTTAAGACACAGTGGTGATCTGGAGCTGGCTCCTACTGGCTTGCAAGACCCAATTATGTGCATCACTTCCCAACTCTGTGTTCAATAACATCGAGTTGATAGCATGAACCACAGTAGGAGTATTTACACCATGGAAATGGGCAAAGGCTACAAAGCAAGATGTCCATCCCTCCACCCCCAAGTCAGTTGTTAAATATTTACCAGCACACCACTGATGGTCTGTGTTCACGTTTATAGACGATAATTAGTAAGGCATAATGAGGAGGGGGGGGAGCCTGTGATTATAAATCATTACAGCTGGATTCTAGTCCCAGCTGTTCTGTTTGCTGGTCATTATAGGCAGGTAGTTTCACCTTTTTTTCCCTTAGCTTTCCTAACTTTCTAGTGTATATAATGACACCTACATTGCATTATTGCAAGAGTCATTATGAGAATAAAATATATTTATGAAAGAATCTTAAAAAATTAAAAGCTCCATACACATACAAAGGATTATAATTTGGGGTATTAGTGTGGTAGGTATTATGGGAAATGTAATAATTTGGTCCCTCAAAACTTAATAAAGAAAAAGACATGCCAGAAATTAGAAAAAGGCCTTATCCCAGGAAACCGAATAGTCTTCTTTTGTTTTAAAATTATAAATAGTGTGTCAGAATCTAGTAACCTTTTAAGTGTTTTGTTTTGCTTTTAATTAGTGGTCCACATTATGCCCAGTTTTTAAAGTCACAAAGCTGGAAGTCATCCTGCATCCTTGTTTTTCCTTCAGCCTTTTATATCTCTGTCATTGTTTCTTTTTTAAAATCTCTCTACACATTATCCCTCTCATCCTCCTTCCATTGGCTTGGATTTAGTTCAGGCCTTCACCATTACAGAGTCCCTAATCCTAGCCTAACCTAGCCTCTCTTACAATCCATTCTTCATGCTATACCCAGAAGAATATTTTCTCATATGAGATCAAGTCCAAAGTTTCCCACATATCATAAAATGTCATTCATGATCTGGTCTCTGCCAACCTTGCAATCATCAACTTTTTTCTGTCAGCTCTCTGTGCCCTAAAATTAAGTGGCATGCTCTTCTACCCTTTCCACATCTTTGAAAACTTACTGTAAGATAGCCAACATTGTTGATATCTTCATATAGCACTTATCCAATTGTTGTAATTTTATTATTTTTATTATTATTATTACTATTTTCATAGGAGGTTATGAGACTCAGAAGGGCAAGAATAACTTTGGGTACTGCTCTTTGTATATTCAGGACCTGGCCTGGTATCTAGCTTTGTATGAGAATAAAGTTTCTTTGGGTGAATTTATATCCAGGCAGCCCTATGAGCAGGGATGAGCTCTTGCCCCAGGCTACAAGCCTCCCCACTAAGAAAGCAAGCAGGGCTCTCATGCCTCACCCCTCCCTGCCTGCCCACACCTTTGGCAGCGGCTTCTGTGCTCATATCTGCACTCCCCATTCACCCTGCCTCCAGATTATGCTCAAGAAAATTTGTGCTCAGTCAAAATTATTACAAAGTTCAGCTAGGAATTTCCTTCACCCTGTGGCCCATCCCCAATTCCACTGGCTGCCTTCCCTTCCCCAAGGAACTCTGTGAGATAAGGCCAGGAATGACGTCCCTGGTCTGGAGCTGGGGACCAGGAGTGCCTACAGGGCTCTTCCCACTGCTTCTACTTTTATATTTCTCTTGGCTCCCTAAATCCATTTCAGCTCTACTAGAGTAAGGTTAAATCCTTCTCCTGTGATCTGGATTTTCAGGTTCCCCAGTGGGGATGTGTGTATGGAGGCCAACATTTCCCCCCTTACACTTTGGGAACTCGCAGTTTTTCTGCCATCTCATGGAGTTTGCAGTGTCAAGTCAGTTCTTTCAAAGGGTTTGTGAATTCTTTAGGTTTTCCTGGTATGTTCCTGCAGTGTTTCCTGGAGCAAACGTTCACAATGTGCGTCTCCAGGCACTGTTCTGCCTGGCCAAGCAGGAGATGCACATTAGTCCTGTCTCCTATCTGCCATTTTTTTCTGTAATTCTCTAATTCTTTTCAGTTATCATTCAAAATATTTGACTCCCTAGAGTTCAAATTGCCCCAAATCTGGCCACAATCAATCAGCTGGAGAGTAGTAATTCATATAATTACTCCATTCCCTAGGATTGGGAGAGTTGGGGCAATGTGTGGCCAAACATAAAGTCAACTTGTGAAGGGAGTTACATTGGGTTTCTTCAAGAGGCCATGAAGAGTTCCAGAGGCTTGTGGAGACTACTTTCAAAATAAAAACAAAAAAAAGCAACCTTTCCCTTCCAAGTAAACCGAGGGATAAGACTTAGGGGAAATGGTTTAAAGACCCATAGAAAGGAATATTAATACTCTGTAGCAGATAGTTAACCCTAAGAATTGGGGAGAAAACTCTTGGATGATAGAATCAATAAAGAAAGCTATTAGGAGAGACACTGAAAAAAAGAGTAAAGTTTCTTTATACTTTCATTTAAACAAGACCTAAAATCAGAAAGAATATTAACACTATTATCTAGATCAAAACTTACCTAGATAAAAATGTAAAACAAATGGGTTGTGCTTATCCTCATTTAGTAATGATAGACACTATTCGTTGAATAAAGATGGAAAACTTTTTAGTATAAGTATATTCAATTTTACTTAATTGAAATTAATTAAGTAAAATTAATTACTTAATTGTAGCTAGTACTCTGTTAGTAAATTGCCAAAGAGTTTTTAATTACTATTATTATAAATAAAAATTAAATAATAATGACAAATATTAACAGATCTTATTGATTACCTTTAGTTGGCGAATAAAGCAAGTATTGGATTTTTGCATTTTGATGCTGTATGCCCAACCCAAGGCCAAGTATTATTTACAGGTAAGAAATTGGGGTGTGTATGTGTGTGTGTGTATATATGTGTGTGTGTGTATATATACATACCGTGAACCTAGTAAGAATATTCACGTATAATCAATTTTATATATATATATACACACACACATATATATGTACACACCAATTATATCTGTAGATAGATATAATTTAAATTGAAAGTGTTACTTTCTCCCTCCTTCCTATAATTTCTTCTTCCTCATTGTGTTCCTCCACCATACTTTATGCTCAGAAAATAGAAAATACTCACTGTAATAAAAAGGCAAAGGAAGTTTAAAATCGATTATATATGAATATTCTTACTAGGTTCACGGTTATAGAGAAAATTATAGTTACCTGAAGCAAACTGAAAAGAAAATCTCAAAAAAAAAAAGAAATTGTAGCGCCTATATTTATTTCTTGGCTTACAATTTTACTAGATTAAGCAAATGCATTTTGAGCATTTGTCAGACATTGTATATACACGTATCATTGCTACCCTAAATTTACTCATACTTTATGAGTAACACAGTTCTCAGTGTCTTACTGTATTTGTAAAAGTGAATCAATTATATATAGTTTGTACCTTCTAAATCCTTGTACATGGTTAAATAATAATGTTGTGTTTCTAAATAGTAAGTATGGACCTCGCTACATAGACAATGTGCACTTATTGGAAGAATTTGCAGAAGAGAGTTCTAGACTAGAGAGAAAGTTAGAGAAAGGCCTAAAGCAAGGTCTTTTCTTTTATTGGAATTTAAAAAAAAAAGGTCCCTTTTGATTCCTAGTTAGTGGCAATGTCATGAAAACACAAGATCCGGCCAAGGTACTCTTCCCAATTTGAAACACCACAGTTCTATTCTGTGTCCTCATAGTGTGCCTGAGGACGGCCACATTTTTCTTTATTACTTATGAGGCTCTCTTCGTCTACAGATTATGCATAATATATATTAAATAAAAAAGAAAGCTCATTTCCATTGCCCTCTCTTTCTTATGGAGGATATTTTTAGGCTTACCCCATGACTCTAACCAGCTAGTTGTGGAGTTATGGGTGAGACAGCCGGTTGCTTTTTGTCTTCTCTTTGCTGGGAACTACTTTGTCAGTCACAATATCTGGAGCTAGAATGTGGCACCTTTCATCAGGAGCATGAAGCTCCTTCGTCTTAGCTATGGGCTCAATGTTCGCATCTCTCCCAAAGCCTCCCAACGTTTCATTTTTGTTTTGTTTTGTTCTTGAGACAATGTCTTGCTCTGTCGCCCAGGTCGGAGGGAAGTGGCACAATCATGGCTCACTGAAGCCTTAAGTAGCTGGGACTACAGGTGCACATCACCACACTTGACTAATTTTTTGTAGTGTTTACATAGGCAGGGTTTAGACATGTTGCCCAGGCTGGTCTGGAACTCCTGGGCTCAAGCAATCTGCCTGCCTCAGCCTCCCAAAGTGCCGGGACTATAGGTGTGAGCCACAGCTCCTGGCCTCCCTCCCAAAATTAATATGTTAAAATTCTTACCCCCAAGGTGATGGTATTTGGAAGTGGAGCCTGTGGGAGGCAATTAGATTATGCAGGCAGAGCCTCATAAATGGGATTAGTGCCCTTGTAAAAGAGACCTCAGAGAGCTAGCTGGCCCCTTTTACTGTGTGGGGATACAGTGGAAGCCATCATGTATGAGGAATGGGCCCTCAGCAGACATAAGCCTGCTAGCACCTTGTTCTTGGCCTTCCCAGGCTCCAGGACTGTTTGTTGTTTATAAACTACCCATTGTATGGTATCTTGTTATAACAGCTCAAATGGACTAAGACAGTTCTAAACTAGAAACTGAAGTATTTGTGAGGATGAAAGTGGATTTAGATAAAGAGACTCTTTCAAAGAGGGATTTAGATGGAATGTTTAGTATTTAGGAAAGAAACAGATAATTTCTTGTCTGGTTAATCTCAGAATCAAACATGGAGCAGGGTATGGTGTCTCATACCTGTAATCTCGGCACTTTAGGAGGCCAAGGCAGGAGGCTCACTTGAGCCCAGGAGTTGGGAGGCCAAGGCAGGAGAATTACTTGAGCCCAGGAATTCGAAACCAGCTTGGGCAACATGGTAAATCCCTATCTCTACAAATAATATAAAAATTAGGCAGGTGGCACGTGCCTGCAATCATGCCAGTGCACTCCAGCCTGGGTAACGGAGTGAGACCCTGTCAAAAAAAAAAAAAAAAAAAGGAGATCAACTAACTGTAAATACCTTCAATTAATTGAAACTGAAATAAAATTATTATTTTATAAAAAACATTTTCTTCAGTATATTCTATTGTATTTTTTATTTTCAAGTTAATGTAGCTTACTCAATGAAAGCGTCGAAGGTACTAATGTCTTTTGGGGTTTTTTTTTCAGCTAGAAGATGATATCATAGCTAAAGAGATGTACTTTACAAAAATAACAGATTTTGTAGGTAACATCAGTTCAAATAATTGGTTTTTTATTGAGTTTTCAATGCTTGGATTCATAGGTAAGCAATAGATCTACTTTGTTGGATCAAGTTTTTTAGCACACAATAATTTAAAACATTTAAAAGAGTTTATCAGTTTGTTTATTACTAAAGGAAAAAGAATGGCATGATTTTTATAAAGACATGAATATCTTAACAGTATAATCAGATACAAGTACCTGAATTCCAGATAATGTGTTTTCTTAAACCAAACTTTTTTCTAGAGAGATAAAATTGACATTTAGACACTTACGTTATAGAAGCATAAAAGAGTTACCATTTATTAAGTGCTTGCTGTGAGTCTGGCACACATGTTAGCTCAGTGGCTAAGACGCACTTTTCCCTGCTTTATAAGAATACTGAAACTCAGATAATTAAAATTTTAGAGAAAGGGATTTTAACTCAGTTGCTGCAATTTCCAGTATGCTAAAGCTGGCAGTCTTAAAAAATGTAAAAACATAAGAGGAATTATACCCACTGCAGAAAATTTCCAAATACTGTGCCCATAAAGAGATTTTTTTTTTTTAACTATTCTTCCATAGATTTTCCTTTCAAATTCTTCAATTTTTCTTTCTTCACTTCCATGCTTTTTTCTTTCCTTTGAACCTCAAGGCCCCAAGTTAAGTTACCATACTCCTCATTTTATGGTACATGACGTTATTGATTCATGCAGGAACTCTTCCTTATTTATTCTTTTCTTTCATTCCCAATCCCTACACCCACTTCCTGCCATTCTTCAATATATTGTTCACTCTAATATGTTCAAAATACACTTATAAATATACATATCCATGTAAATTATTTGATGCTTTTCATATTTGTATATTCCTATTCCTTACATTTTTGTCCTCAAAACTTGATTTCTAAACTATCAGCATTTTTTTATGTTCATTTAGTTTATTGGTTTTTTACTGTTGCGTAAGTGCTGCATTATGATGGCCACTGAAATTTCTGCATTCAGAATTGTGCAGTGAGGACTACCAGTTTTGCACATAGAGGTCATGCATATAAAACTGTAACCTGCTTTTAATTTCTTTACATCAACAATCCCACGATCAGCTGTCTTATAGTCACATCCAAATTCACTTCCAGCGTTCACTTTCTGTGCTTTCATCTGTCATCCAGTCAGTCCCTTCTTTTGATGACCTACTTTTGTTAAATGTCATGTGGATTTATCACCGGAAGGCAAGGCAAGACAACCACACATTTTGCTGTCTACAAGTGGACTAAATACTGGATGCACAGTGACCACTCACCAAAGAACTTTGAAAGAAGTGACTTATCACTTACTTATCACTCACATTTGGTTTATCTATTTCCTGAGTGGCAGACCTTAATTGCTTCCAATGTTCTGCTACCATGAAAAAATGAAGTGACGTATATGTCCCCTGGAGTGGACCGCTGAGGATTCACATAGTTCTAAGTACTGCCGATTGCTTTACAGATTGGTTATATGGTTTTTTTTTTTTTTTTTTTTGAGACGGAGTCTCGCTCTGTCGCCCAGGCTGGAGTGCAGTGGCGCGATCTTGGCTCACTGCAAGCTCCGCCTCCCGGGTTCACACCATTCTCCTGCCTCAGCCTCCTGAGTAGCTGGGACTACAGGCGCCCACCACCGCGTCTAGCTAATTTTTTTTTTTTTTTTTTTTTTTTTTTGTATTTTTAGTAGAGACGGGGTTTCACTGTGGTCTCAATCTCCTGACCTTGTGATCCGCCCACCTCGGCCTCCCAAAGTGCTGGGATTACAGGCGTGAGCCACCGCGCCCGGCGGTTTATGCTTTCATAAGCAGTGCATAAAAGTTCGTGCTTCCCCATATGCTTGACAACACTTGGTTTTATCTATTATTATATGCATATATTTGCCATTCTCAGTATAAAGCATTTCTGGGATTGCTGGTAAGGTCCATCTGTTTTTCATATACTCACTCAATGACTTTTGTGTTTCATGTTTTCTGTAAAATTTTAAGGGCCCAAAGGTTTTTCCTCAGCCTTTTTTAAAATAAGAAGGAAAATTTTTGTTAACAATAATACCCAATGAAAAGCATGGAGACAAAATAATCTTGCTGATGGATTAGTCTGAGAATTTAAAATTCTCAAAAAAATTTATCTTTCTCAGCGAGGTCAAGTAGGAGACACATAGAGAATACTTACATTCTGATCACAAGAGCACATTGAACAAGGTGCACTATTTACAGGATGCCAAATCTTATTCAAGCTTAAACTTACAAAAGTTTTGCTTTTAGTTATCATAATTCGGTTATTCATTATTTGCTAAAAATATGAGCTTGCCAACTAGAATTTTACAGCATGGTGACAGCAGGTTAGGAATTGAATCAGCTATTTTATACATCATTAAATCACTTGCTTTGGTCACTATACAAATGGGTGCAAAACATTAAAATACAATTATACATTTTAGTAAGTGACCCGTATAAACTCAAGTCCTAGTGAAGAATGAAGCATGCTTACATCCTACTTTCATATTTATCAAATCATTAGATGTATTTTACATTATTTACTTTGAAGTGAATATGTACCTGAATCTTATCCCTTCAACTTCATTTTAAAATTAAAGATGCAGCATATTAGAAAAAAAGTATTAGACCTAATGGAATAATATTTTAAAATATAGTAAATCTTTAAGAATAACAAATATAGGCCAGGCGCGGTGGCTCCAGCCTGTAATCCCAGCACTTTGGGAGGCCGAGACGGGCAGATCACGAGGTCAGGAGATCGAGACCATCCTGGCTAACATGGTGAAACCCCGTCTCTACTAAAAAAAAAAAATACAAAAAACTAGCCGGGCGAGGTGGCGGGCGCCTGTAGTCCCAGCTACTCGGGAGGCTGAGGCAGGAGAATGGCGTAAACTCGGGAGGCGGAGCTTGCAGTGAGCTGAGATTCGGCCACTGCACCCCAGCCTGGGCAACAGAGTGAGACTCCGTCTCAAAAAAAAACAAAAACAAAAACAAACAAATATAAAAAAAAATAGCATCCTGTTAAAATAATTCTCAAATATTGAAATAAGAGAGTACTTTAATAAAATTAAGTAGTAAAAATGAAAAATGTGGTAGATTAATAAAGTGCTACAAAAATCAGGTAAAAAATACAGTTTGTACGAAATTAAGTAAAAGATTACAGCGCCTATATGTTTCATTCTATTCACTTATCTTTCACTTGATTTAGGCAATCGATCCGCATTAGTTAGCACAATTGATTTCCTGAGAGTATTGACTATTCTAAACCTGCTTATATTCTCCTTCAGATGTGGTAATTCTTGATACTTAAGCAGATATAGTGTTCAATTTTATCATTGTCCAACTTCAGTAGTGCTTTAATCTTTAGTGCTAAGGAATGGGACATATTTAAATTTTAATAACTTTTGCTTTTTTCCCATGTTAAAGGAATGAACAACTATATATGAATTATTTGCATCTAATTATATTTTTTCCAATAGGAAAGCTGTTTAGATCTGAGGACTTAACTCACTTTGTACGGTTTTTTTTAATGTTCTACAAAGAGAAACCCATAGACTGGCTCCTGAATGACATTTTTCAGGTAAAGGTGTGTGACACAGGAGAAGATCTTGTGAGTATTCATTTACTTTACGAATAAAAAATATTTTAGGAAAAATATTATCTAATGTAATTACCTAAAATTTGTTTACCAAACCAAATCTGATAAATACATCAATTTTTAAAATTTCTAATATCCCCAATTTTGATCTTTCTACCTGTTAAATGAAGTAATGAGAGACCCCTAAAATGTAGTGAAAAGTTGAAACAGAGGATCAAAAACAGAGTGAACAAACAGAAAAAAATGGTAGACATAAATTCAAACATGCCAATACTTACATTAATATAAATGATTAAAGTACACTATTAAGAGTTTGTCAGAGTCAATTTTTTAAATGATGCCACCACTAAAGTCAATATTCAGTTCAAATATTATAGATAGGTTAAAACTGTGGATGCAAAAAATATACACCATACAAACACAAATCAAAGGAGATTTGCAGTAGTAGTTATTTAGTTATTTATTGAGACTCATTCTGTAGCCCAGGCTGGATTGCAGTGGCACAATCACAGCTCACTGCAACCTCAACCTCCCTGGGCTCAGGTGATCCTCCCACCTCAGCCTCCTCAGTAACTGGGACTATAGGTGCATGCCACCATGCCCGGCTAATTTTTGTATTTTATGCAGAGACAGGCTTTCGCCATGTTGCCCAGGCTGGTCTCAAGCTCCTAGGCTCAAACCATCACACCTTGTCCTCCAAAAGTGCTGGGATTACAGGGGTGAGCCACAATGCCCAGCTTATAGTAGCTATATTAATATCAGAATAAACTTAAAAGCAAAGAAAAAAAAACAGTCTAGGTATCAAGAAAGATATTATATATAATAAAAGGGTTAATTTACCAAGAAGACAACAGAGTCTTGAAATACATGAAGCAAAAACTGACAGAACTAAAAGAAAATATACATTGATCTACAATTACAGTTGGAGATTTCAACTCTTCTCTCTCTCAGTAATCAGCAGAACTGATAGGCAGAAAACCAGCAAGGAGATAAAAGAACTGAACATCACCATCTGTCAACTGGATTTAATTGGCAGTTAAAAACCACTACATCCAATAACAGTAAGAAATACATTCTCTTAAAAAAACAGATACAACATTCACCAAAATAGCCACATCTTGGATCATAAAACAAAGCTTAACAAATTTAAATTGAAATAATTTTTAAATGTATGTTCTTGTACCACAATGGAATCAAATTAGAAATCAGCAACATGAAGATAACTGAAAAATCTCAAGCACTTGATAATTAAACAACACACTTCTCAATAAGCCCTAGATGAAGGAAGAAGTTTTAAAGGAAATTAGACAACTCTTTGAAATGAATGAAAATACAATGTTTCAACATTTCTGGAATGCAGCTAAAGCACTGCTTAGAGAGAAAGCTTATAGACTTAAATCTATATCTCAGAAGAGAAGAAAGATCTCACATTCATAATCTCAACTTCTACATTCACAAACTAGAAAAAGAAGGGCAAAATAAAAGGTAAAGGAAGAGAGGGAAGAAAATGATAATAATAAAAGAAAACAGAAAATTAAAAGCATAAAAATAACAGAGAAAACCAATAAAACCCAAAGGTAATTTTTTTAAAAAGAGCAATAAAACTGCTAAGTTTCTAATAAGAGTGACAAAAAAATACAGCTTATCAACATTAGAAAGAAAGTGGGAGTTCCACAACATACTCCACAGATACCAAAAGGATAATAAGGGAATACTGCAGGCACTTCCTTGCATATTCAAAGAGCAACTTGAAAATGAAATCCATCAAAAATTGTAAATTACCAAAACTCATCCAAACTGAAATTGGTAACCTGAGTAGTCCTATATCTACTAAAGAAATTAAATTATTATTTTAAATCCTCAAAAGGAAATTTCTACATCCAAAGGGTTTAAAGGTGTATTCTACTAAATGGAGATGAAATAATAACAATTGTATATAATATCTTCTCCAAAATAGAAGAGGAAAGGGTACATCCCAATTCTTTTCATGAGGCCAGCATTATCATGACATGAAAACCAGACAAAAACAGAGCGAAAAAGGAAACCAAGACCAAATATCCCCCAAATATATAGACAGAAAAATCTTCCAAGTAACAGTGAATTGAATCTAGCCATATGTAAAAAGAAAAATACACCATACTAATTGGTATTTATCCTATGAACACAAAACTGGTTTAATGTTTAAAAATCATACAGTGTAACCCATCAATTTAAGATTCTAAAGAAGAAAAGCCACATGATAATATCAACTGATACAGAAAAATCATTTGATGAAATTCAAAATTCATACATGATAAAAACTCCCAGCCAATTAGGAATAGAAAGAAACTTCTCTGACATGTTAAAGAGCATCTAGGGAAATCCCATAGCCAACTTCATGTTTAATTGTTGAAAACTGGATGCTTTCTCTCTAAGATTAAGAAAAAAGTAACCATGTCCATCCTCACCACTCCTATTCAACCTTTTACTGGAAGTTCAAAGTAGTGCAATAAAGGGAAAAATAAAGGCACATGAATTGAAAAGCAAATGCCATGATTGTCTATGCAGCAAATCACAAAGAATACACACACACACACACACACACACATCCTAGAACTGATAAATGACTTTGAGCAAAGTTGCAAGATACAAGGTCTATACACACAAAAATCCATCATTTTTCCTCAAAATAGCAATGAAACGTTGAAAACCAAATGTATTAGTCCATTTTCACACTGCTATAAAGAACTACCTGAGACTGGGTCATTTATAATGAAAAGAGGCTTAATTGACTCACAGTTCTACATGACTAGGGAGGCCTTAGAAAACTTACAATCATGACAGAAGGTGAAGGGAGACAAGGGACGTCTTATATAGCAGCAGGCGAGAGAAAGCCAGGGGGTAATTGCCACACACAAAACCATTAGATCTCATGAGAACTCACTCACCATCATGGGAACAGCATGGGGGAAATTTACCCACATGATCCAATCACCTCCCACCAACTCCCTCCCCTGAAACATAAGAATTACAATTTGACATGAAATTTTGGGTGGGGACAAAGAGAAAAATGGTCTCACCAACATTTCAAAATTACTTACAATATTTAAAAATATTACATATAAAATATTTATGTATCTGTATGTGTATACATTTAACAAAATATGTACATTGTCTATATGCTGGACACCTTAAAATGCTAATGAAAGGGATAGAGAGACATACCATGATCATAGATTGGGAAGCTCAACCTAGTAAAGGTATGAATGTTCCCCAAATTGGTCTATGGATTTAATACAATTCTAATCAAAATCCCAGCAGAAATTTTTTGGTAGGTATTCTACCAAAACTGACTCTAGAATTTTTAAGAGAAGACAAAGGACATAAATCAACTAAAATAATTTTGAAAAAGCAGAATAAAGTTGGGAAAATCACATTATTCAATCTGAAAGCTTACAATAAAGCTACAGTATTCAAGACAAGCCACCTTTATTGGCAAAACGAGAAACATAAAGGTCCATGGAGCAGAATAGAGTCCGGAAATAGGCCCACAAAATATAACCAACTGATATTTTACAAAGAAGTGTATGCAATTCAATGGAGAAAGAATAATCTTATCACAAATGTTTACTGGATCAATTGGTGCCCTATCTCTCAACCATACTGCAACCTAAACCTCACACTTTATACAAACATTATTTCAAAATAAATCATCTATCTAAATACAAAAAATCATCTATCTAAACACTAAAACTCTTGGAAGAAAATATAGAAAAAAATGTTCAGGACCTAGGGTTGGGTGAAATTTTTTTTAAATGACACTGAAAGCATTTTTAAAAATTGATAAATTGGACCTCATCAAAATTAAAAATTTTTGTGCTGCAAAAAGGTACCGTTAAGAGGATGATAAGACACCACAGACTAGGAGAAAATATTTGTAAATTTCATATCTAACAAAGGACATGTATTCAGTATATGTATAGAACTCTCAAAACAAACAACTCAATTTTAAAAAGGGCAAAAGATTTGAACAGACACTATCCAGATTCCATAAAAGTAATGATTGTCCTTACGGCAATATGAAATAAGCTCAGCTTTATCAACAGTTTGTTTTGAGGGTGTATTTACCGAGCCATTATTTTATATGCTAAACTGTAACTCCTCAACAAATTTTATCTGATGCTAATTTAATTTCAAATTAAATTAACTCTAAACCATTAAATTACTTTACAGTTAAAAGAGAAACTGTTAATATTTCCTATGTGTTAGTACTGGGTAGAAATGCATCTAAATAAACCTGTTATGTAAAAAATCACTATATATATAAATTTTAGATTTATTTTTCTGAATCTTCTATGTATAAAAACCTATAAAATAATTCTCAGTGATCATAATTATTCCAAATGTTTGTGGGGTTTTTATTGTTTGTTTTGTTTTTGTTTTTTAAAAATGGAGTCTCACTATATTGCCCAAGCTGGTCTCAAACTCCTGAGCAATCCTCCCACCTCAGCCTCCCAAAGTGCTGGGATTACAGGCATGAGCCACTGTGCCCAGGCTTCAAATGTTTGTTTTTAATAGGAGTGGTTCTATAGGTCATCCTTCTCATTTTCATTTTTGAGAAAATTATCCAGATTATTCTTCATTGACTATAAATTGGTTCTTTGTTTTAATATCACATTTTTACTCTCTAAGAAGAAATTGACGTGATATAATTCAATACAGAAATTAGTCAATGAATATGGGAAGTGAAAGAATACTGTAGTCTGACAGATATAGATAGAAAAATACCAAGCATTTTATTTGAGTTATTATAATTAAAAGAAAGAAAGGAAATATAGTTGGTACAACACTAAGCTGGTTTTCTAAGACAGAGTTCATGCAAATACACGTTGTAACAAAAATCTTTTTTACCCCAACTCCTTTGCTCTATTCTTTTGAAGAAAAAGCTAAGAATTAAATATTTTGTTTATATTTTTAAATATGAAAATAGAACTCTAGCAAAAACTAATATATAAAAATTCTACTATCAGTAAACGCAATACAAAGCAATATCTGGGTTTTTACAGAAGATTGTTGTTTCTCTTTTTCCACAGGGAAACTGTATAAAAAGAAAGAAGCAAATACGTATTCGGTATAAACCTTCTCTTTTCCAGCATGTGGGTATACATTCATCATTCCCTGGAAAAGAACAATATGAAAAAGTAAGATTTTGAAATGTGACTTTAGTAACATACGATATTTTATAAACTTATAAAATACTATTTAGAAAAAGAGTGGTGACATAAGAGACTATAAAATATGGTTGCTTAAGCAGAATTCATCTTATGGTAGAACTGTATGTTGTGAAGGACATTTATAAATTAAGCAATCATCTTTTAAAGCCCCAAGTTATCTATCATGGTAAGAAGAATTCAGCCTACATAAACTATTTTGCCTTACTGTTCCCAGTCGTGCAATTCAAAGAAGACTAAAAAAGTGTTTTGAAAATTATAATAAAATTCACTATTTTAGTCTAAAATTCAAAATTATACTATAATATTTCAAAAATAAAATCCTTCTACTATTTAATTTAAATGTATCAGAATTTTTATTTCAGATCTCTGTTTGTTTTGCCAGATGAAGAAAAATTTAGCATTGCTTGGTTTTTAGTCATTCTTAAAATTTTGCATCATTTTCAGATACAATATTATTGATAATTGACTCAGCCCCCTAGTGTAGTAGAAGAAACAAAGATTTCAAGGTCAAAGCACCTAGTTTTCAGTCCTGGTCAACTAGGGAGTACATATATGATACTGGGCAAGTTCAAACACTCCTCTGAGCTTTCTTCATCTATAAAAGCTTCAAAGAGTTTAAATGATCCTTAAGATTTCTTCCACCCTCGACACCTCTACCTTTAGTGTCTTTACACTATGAAAGAAATGCTTGCTTTAATCCTTTGTCAACTGAATGAGAAATAGACATATACATCTTCCCATCATTCATGACTCACCCTCTTTCTGCTTTTTCTGCTTTGTGTATTGTAATGCATGATTTGGAACCATGCCTAGAACATAATGTGAAGTCAGTAAATGTTAGCTGTTGGCTATCAAGCAAGGTGGAATCCAACAAAGAAAATGTGCCAAACAAGACAAATATGTGCCTGGAATAATGAAAACGTAACTGTTGTGAATCTTTGTGCAAAAAATCACACCATCAGAATACATAGCTGTAGATATGATGCAGAAATAAATTGGTCTATACCATTCTCTTTTTCGACGCTATTATAATGCGATTCTTTCATTATACTTTTTGGCCAGATATGATATTTTAACCTCACTTTTGTAAATTCATGGCATATTAAGGAAATGTAGACACAAACATTCATATTTTGATGTTATAATGCTGGCTTTTTTCCTTTTTTATACTTGATACCACATAAAATAGAAGTCAATAACAATTTAAAAATATGTCAAATGTGTTTATATTCAAATTATTTTTAAAATTTTTAACAGGATGTTTATTATTAGGAGTTTCATGCTTCTAAAGCTTCTTTAAAAAGTATCAAAATCATTCTTTGGAAATAATGGCATAATAAGGATTAGACTATTTCTCAAATTTCTTAAGAGACTACATCATATTTTAAAATACTAATCCTTCAATAAAGTGGTAAGTATAAGAAAATTGATATAAATATATAGACATCAGATATTTATTAATTTTATTTTAAATTACATTCTATGAATGTTCAACTTTTATTACTGTGTTTCCCTTAATATTCATTTCTTTAAGTCTTTTTTTAAAACTTTTAGATAAAATTTGTTCTTTAACCAGTTAAATTTTGTTTTACCCTTATGATAAAACTTGTTTTTTTGAGAAGTAGTCTCGCTCTGTCGCCCAGGCTGGAGTGCAGTGGCGCGATCTCGGCTCACTGCAAGCTGCGCCTCCCAGGTTCACGCCATTCTCCTGCCTCAGCCTCCAGAGTAGCTGGGACTACAGGTGCCCGCCACCACGCCCAGCTAATTTTTTGGTATTTTTAGTAGAGATGGGGTTTCACCATGTTAGCCAGGATGGTCTCTTACCTTGTGATCCGACTGCCTCGGCCTTCCAAAGTGCTGGGATTACAGGAGTGAGCCACCGTGCCCAGCCATGATAAAACTTTTTAAATTGTAAGATAAATTTTCTACAGTTTTATTAAGCGGAAAAATAATTTTATTTATCTCTAGTCATCCAGCTTGTAGTTCAAAAAATAATAATTTAATAAAACAAAAATGTGCCCTTTTAGTGATGAATTTTCTTAGTTTTTAAATTTTTTGAAATTTGCCTAGATTGTCAGTTTAAATGCTGTTTATCATTTCATATTCTAGGTCTATGATAAACATAAAAATTTCTTTTGGAAACAACTAACATATTTCCACATTGGTTAACAAAACCATACTTTCTGAAAATTCAAATAAAATACTTAAAAGAAAGATTTTTCTTAGTTGATAAGCTAATATTGTGTATTCTATAATTTTCTACTTCTCCATTGTATTCAAAAAGTCATTTTCCATTTATTACAGTGCACTGGGCATAGGGCCAATTGTTTAAATGTACTGCAATTAAGGTTGCCAGATAAAATACAGGACACCCAATTGACTTTGAATTTCAGTTAAATAACGATTTTTTTTTCATGTATGTCTCATTTGTTTTGTTGTTGTAGTAGTTGTTGCTAAATCTGACAAGCCTAGTTGGAGGTGATGAAGGGACAGGGAGTAGAAGGATACTGCCCATAAAAATGCTTTAACTGAAAAGAATACCACACACAGAGAAGAAAGGATCAGCACAAGAACTCCAGCAACTCAAATGATCAGAGTGTCTTCTGTCCTGCAAATGACCACACTGGTTCTCTAACAAAGGCTCTTAATCAGGCTGAGATGGCTGAAATGACAGAAATAAAATTCAGGATATGGATAGAAATTAAGATCTTCAAGATTCAGGAGAACGTTAATACTTGATCCAATGAATCTAAGAATCAAAATATAACAATACAGGAACTGACAGATACTTGATCCAATGAATCTAAGAATCAAAACATAACAATACAGGAACTGGCAGATACTTGATCCAATGAATCTAAGAATCAAAATATAACAATACAGGAACTGACAGATAAAATAGCCAGTATAACAAATAATCTGACCTGATAGAGCTGAAAAACACTCTACAAGAATATCCTAATGCACTTGCAAGTATTAACAGTAGAATAGACCAAGTTGAGGAAAGAATCTCAGAGCTTGAAGCCTGCCTTCCTGAAATAAGATAGTCAAAATAAACAAAAAGAGTGAAAAAGAATAAACAAATCTCCCAGAAATATGAGATTACGGAAACAGGCCAAATCTATGAATCACTAGCATCACTGAATAAGACAGGGTTGGAAAGCTGACAACTTGGAAAATTTATTTCAGAATATTGCCAATGAAAGCTTCTCCACCCTTGCTAGAGAGGACAATATTCAAATTCAGGAAATGCAGAGAATCCCTGCAAGATACTAGAAGATCATCTGCAAGACACATAATTATCTGATTTACGGAGGTCAAAATGAAAGAAAGAATGTTAAAGGCAGCCAGAGAGAAAGGGCAGATAACCTGTAAAGGGAACCCCATTAGGCTAGCAGTAGACCTCTCAGTTGAAACCCTGCAAGCCAGAAGAGATTGGAGGCCTATATTCAGCATTCTAAAAGAAAAAAATCTTCAACCAAGAATTTCATATCCAGCCAAACTAAGCTTCCTAAGCAAAGGAGAAATAAGATACTTTTCAGACAAGCAAATGCCGAGAGAATTCATTACCACCAGACCTGCCTTACAAAAGCTCCTGACAGGAGCACTAAATATGGAAAGGAAGGACTATTACTGGCCAATGCAAAAACACATTTAAGTACACAGACCAGTGACATTATAAAGCAACCACACAAACAGGTTTGTGTAATAAGCAGCTAACAACACAATGACAAGCTCAAATGCACACATATTAATACTAATCTTGAATGTAAATAGGCTAAATGCCTCACTTAAAAGACAGAGTGGCAAGCTGGATAAAAAAGCAAGTCTTCAAGAGATTGGTATGCTGTCTTCAAGAAATCCATCTCACATGCAGTGACTCTTAAAAGCTCAAAATAAAGGGATGGAGAAAAATCTACCAACAAATGGAAATCAGAAAAAAGGCAGGGATTGCAATCATAATTTGAGACCAAACAGACTTTAAAACAACATCAAAGAAGACAAAGAAGGGATTACATAATGGTAAGGGGTTCAATTCAACAAGAAGAGCTAACTATCCTAAATATATATGCACCCAACTCAGGAGCACTCAGATTCATAAAGCAAGCTCTCAGAGACCTACAAAGAGACGTAGACTGCCACACATAATAGTGGGAGACTTTAATACCCCACTGACAGTATTACACAGATCGTCACGGCAGAAAATTAACAAAAGATATTTAGGACCTAAACTCAACACTCGACCAAATGAACCTAACATACACCTACAGAACTCTCTGCCCCAAAACAACAGGATATACATTCTTCTCATAACCCCATGGCACATACTCTAAAATTGACCACAAAATTGGACATAAAACAATCCTCAGCAAATGCAAAACAAAACCTCAAAATCATACCAACCATGCTCTCAGACCAAGTACAATAAAAATAGAAATGAAAACTAAGAAAATTGCTCAAAACCAAACAATTACATGGAAATTAACCTACTTCTGAATGACTTTTGGGTAAATAATGAAAGCAGAAATTAAGTAGTTCTTTGAAACTAATGAGGACAAAGGTAAACATTCCAGAATTTCTGGGACACAGCTAAGGCAGTGTTAAGAGGGAAATTTATAACACTATATACCCACATCAAAAAGCTAGAAAGATCTCAAATTAACAATCTAACATCACAGCTAAAAAACAAACAAACAAAAAAAAAAAAAAAAAAAAAACCTAGACAAGTCAGAGCAAACCAACTCCAAAGCTAGCAGAATACAAGAAGTAACTAAAATCAGAGCTGAACTGAAGGAGACTGAGACATGAAAAACCATTCAAAAGATCAATGAGTCCAGGAGTTGGTTCTTTGAAGAAATTAATAAGACATATGGACCACTAGCTTAATTGTAATAATGAAGAAAAGAGAAAAGATTCAAATAAACACAATTAGAAATGACAGAGGAGACATTACCACTGACTCTACAGAAATACAAATAATCATAAGAGACTACTATGAACACCTCTATGCACACAAACTAGAAAATCTAGAAGTGGATGAATTCCTGGACACATACACCCTCCCAAGACTGAACCAGGAAGAAAGTGAATCCCTGAATAGACCAATAACAAACTCCAAAACTGAATCAGTAATAAATAGCCCACTGAACCAAAAAAGCCCATACAGATTCACAGCCAAATTCTATTAGGTGTGCAAAGAAGACCTGGTACCATTCCGACAGAAACTATTCCAAAAAATTGAAAAGTAGGGACTCCTCCCTAAGTCATTCTGTGAGGCTAGCATCATCCTGATACTAAAACCTGGCAGAGACAAAACAATAACAAAAAAAACTTCAGGCCCATATCCTCAATGAACATCAACGCAAAAATCCTCAACAAAAACCCAGCAAACCAAATCCAGCAGCACATCGAAAAGCTAACTCACCACAATCAAGTAAGCTTTATCCCTGGTATGCAAGATTGGTTCAATACACGTAAATCAATAAATGTGATTTGTCACATAAACAAAACTAAAGACAAAAACCACATGATAGGCTTTCAGTGGTACTGGAACAAAAACAGACACATAAACCAATTAAACAAAATAGAGAGCCCAGAAATAATGCCACACATCTACATCATCTGATCTTTAACAAAGCTGACAAAAGCAAGCAATGGGGGAAAAGACTTCCTATTCAATAAATGGTGCTGGGATAACTGACTGGCCCACGCAGAAGATTGAAACTGGACCCCTTCCTTACACCATATATAAAAATCAACTCAAGTTGGATTAAAACCTTAAATGTAAAACCTGAAACTATAAAAACCCTGAAAGATAATCTAGGAAATACCATTCTGGACACAGGAACTGATAAAGATCTTATGATGAAGATTCCAAAAAGAATTGCAATAAAAACAAAAATTGACAAATCAGATCTAATTAAACTAAAGAGCTTCTATATAGCAAAACAAACTATCAACAGAGTAAACAGACAACCTACAGAATGGGAGAAAATATTTTTAAAAACTATGTATTTGATAAAGGTCTAATATCCAGGATCTGTAAAGAACTCAAAGTTACAAACAAAAAACAAACAACCCCATTAAAAAGTGGGTAAAAAACACAAACAGATGATTTTTAGAAGAAGACATACATGCAGCCAAGAAGCATATGAAAAAAAATGCTCAGTATCACTAAGCATTAGAGAAATGCAAACCAAACCCAAACCACAGTGAGATACCATCTCACACCAGTCAGAATGGCTATCTTTAAAAAGTCAAAAAATAGGGTTGGGCACGGTGGCTTACGCCTGTAATCCCAGCACTTTGGGAGGCCGAGGTGGGCGAATCACCTGAGGTCAGGAGTTCAAGACCACCCTGACCAACATGGTGAAACCCCGTCACTACTAAAAAAACTACAAACATTAGCTGGGTGTGGTGGCAGGTGCCTGTAATTCCAGCTACTCTAGAGGCCAAGGCAGGGGAATTGCTTGAACCTGGGAGGCAGAGGTTGCAGTGGGCCAAGATTGCACAATTGTACTCCAGCGTAGGCAAGCAGAACTCCATATCAATTAAAAAAAAAAAAAAGCCAAAAAGTCAAAGATGCTGGTGAGGTTGCAGAGAAAAGAGAACACTTACACAGTGCAGAGTGTAAATTAGTTCAACCATCATGGAAAGCAGGGTGGCAATTCCTCAAAGAACTAAAAACAGAACTATCATTTGACCCAACAATCCCATTACTGGGTATATACCCAAAGGAATACAAATTGTTCTACCATAAACACACATGCGCACATATGTTCCTCTATTCACAATAGCAAAGACACAGAATCAACCTAAATGCCCATCAGCGATAGAGTGGGTAAGGAAAATGTGGTACACATGCACCACAAAATACCGCATAGCCATAAAAAAGAATGAGATCATGTCCTTTGCAGGCACATGGATGCCACTAGAGGCCATTATTGTTAGTAAACTGACACAGGAAGAGAAATCCAAATACTGCATGTTCTCACCTATAAATAGGAGCTAAATTATGAGAATCACATGGACACAGAGAGGTGAACAACAGATACTGGGGCTTACTTGAGGGAGGATGGTAGGAAGAAGGAAAGGATCAGGAAAAATAACTATCAGGTACTATGCTTAGTACCTGGGTAGCAAAATAAGCTGTACACCAAACCCCCGTGACAAAAATTTACCTATATAACAAACCTACACATGTACCCCTGAGCCTAAAATTAAAGTTTAAAAAAAAAAATGTTTTAACTGAATTACTACTTAAGGTCATGCCCTTGACTTTTATTTTTATTTTATTTTTATTTCTTTATTTTTTTGAGATGGAGCCTTGCTCAGTTGCCCAGGCTGGAGTGTAGTGCTGTGATCTCACCTCATTGCAAGCTCAGTCTCCCGGGTTCACGCCGTTCTTCTGTCTCAGCCTCCCGAGTAGCTGGGACTACAGGCGTCCGCCACCCCACCCGGCTAATTTTTTTTGTATTTTCAGTAGAGACAGGGTTACACCATGTTAGCCAGGGTGATCTCGATCTCCTGACCTCGTGATCCACCCGCCTCGGCCTCCCAAAGTGCTGGGATTACAGGCGTGAGCCACCATGCCCGGCTGCCCTTGACTTTTATTAAAGGATGATATGTTAATACTGTATGACATTTTTGCATTTTCTTCAAAACTGTTATTTAAAGTTTTATGATTCTCTTTTGTGTGAAAATACATGGAACAATTCTCTTTTAGAATTTGATGCTAGGAAAAGATATTTCTCAAAAAACTGTCATGATTTATTTGGTTTTGTGTGGGGTTTTTTCCCCTTTTAGTAACAAGAAATTCAAAACTCATTTCATATGATATGTAGTATCCATATAATCTTATATTAAAACCAGAATTTCTTCAGTCCTCATTTTATATTTAATTCTGGCTTTCTCTTATATATTATTATTAAAGAATTATTGTGTTTTCACTTTAAATTACCCTAAATCTTTTCTATATTTTTATTTTATGTTATAAAAATCAAATAAATGAGTTAAACTATTTGTACATTACCTACAATGCTTTGTTGGCTGTAATGATAGTCTGACTATACAGATTTCCCTGGAATCCCACATATGGAAATCTGTTTTCAATCATTTTAACAGCATGAGAGTATTAAAATTGGCATTGTCTAATATATCTTAAGAATCTTATCTTCTCCTAATATAAAGTTATCTTCCCTATATTAAATGGGTGGGTGGTGTCAAAGAGGATACAACAAGGAGATAATATGATTAAGAAATTGTGAAAATAATTTCATCTTTATGAATTAATATATTATTTCTATATGTTATATTTTTTATTTTTATTTCAGAAAATATGAAGATAAAGAAGCATAAGAAGAAACTCCATAATACCTGGAACCTCAGATAACCTTGATTTCTAATGGCATGTTTCAGAAATTGTAGTAATAAAAATACATAATTATCTAGCAGATAAGTAAACAATCAATAAACTAGTAGACTTGAAAGTACTAAGTGACTTCTTACGTCAAGAAAAAAATAGAACATTGATTTATATTGCTTTTACCCTATCGCAATTTAATTTAAAAATACTAAAGGCAGGGGAGATTTTTTTTTAAATTAAGAACCATACTTTATTGACTCCAATAGTGAGACCATCACATAATTTCAATAAACAGTTAAAAGTTCAAAAGCTTGCTATTGTCGCAGAGAAGTTTTGGGTGAACTGGTATATGCTGTTACCCGTTTTGTTAAGACACAAAGAAAATAAAGAAAATAAAGAAATAGAAAGCACAAATTTAAACAAGCCTGGATCTGACAATGCCACAATGTCTTCTTATCTTTTAATAAATGCATTTAAAACTACACACTTATCCCTATGTGCCATTTGAACTGATTATCAAACATCTTGATACATATGTATTTTGATAGTCATTTAGTTCTAAAGATTTCATAGTTTCTCTCATTATTGCCTTCTTAACACACAGATTATTTGGGAGTTTTTTTCCCAAATATATTGGTTTCTCCATCTTTTATTGTTAATTTCTAAATTACTTGCATAGTGGTTATAGAACTTTACCTATGTGATAAAATTTTGAGAAATGTTGTGAATCCTTATGTTCCACATGACTTTGGAAAGAATGTATAGTTTCTGTATACTCCCTTTTAAACATGTTACATTCATTTGTTTTTAAAAGTGTTGGTTTTGTGCTTTAAAAATATCTTTTAAAAATATTCCTATCTATTGAGTGCAAGATTCTCTTATATCAGGTTTTTTAATTTGGTCGTTGAAATCTTTTCACTCCTTACTAATTTATACATGGTTGATCCATCAGTTTCTTACAGGGGCCCATTAAAATCTATTTTTCTTCTTGATGTTATTTTATAAGATATTATTTATTTTGAGCAATAATAAGAGATATTTGTTATCCTTTAATCAAATATTGTGAAATTCTTCATTTCACATTGTTGCCTTATTCTTGAGTGCCAAGATCTCACACATTCGCCTCGGTGTGAACTGTATCAGATACCAATTTATAAAGAGAATATGAAAGATGAACTATTTCTGTGTCTCCATTTCATTCTCACTTTTGAGAAGAAAATAAGATATTGTACGTATGTTACAAAGATTTTAAATTTGACTTAAATTTTGAACTTTGGAAATTAAATCTGCCAGAGCATAGTCCCAGATAATATGAAGAATTGAAACAAAGTCCCAGAATAGTATTTCTTGAAAAGAGCAACATTCCTTGAAAAGGTGCTTACTTGGACTTCTTATCCTGTTGAAGACTAGAACAAAATACCTAAACGATTGGCACCATAAGCTAGGATAAATATATGAAAAGCCTTTCCAACATTCTGCTGAATGTCAAGAGAAAGCTGAGATGATTCCAAGGGAATGCTGCTGCAGTGCTCAGAGGCATTTGAACCCTGACTGAGATACAGTGAGAGTGAAAGATGCTAGAAGAAACAAGGGAGAAGAAAGTTAAAGACAGCCTTAAAAGTCCAAACCAATTACCACAGTCCCTGAAGAAATTATTCATGATTAAGAGTATTTGGGTGGTCAGCACAAAGTATTTCTAGAAAATATTTCTAATGTAGCCAGAAGAGATGCCCCCTAACTTCCATCCTCACCCCTGCTGTTTGCAAATGTGGATGTTTGGAGGATATCATTTACCACCCATGGTCATTAGTCTGAGATACATGAGGAAGGGGAGATTTGGAGAACCCCAGACACGTAATATAGAGTAGAGCAGAGCAAATAGTGCTTCATTGGTTGGTTTGAGCATTTGTTTTATAGCATTTATGCTGATTTTGCTTCATTAAAATCACTCTTCTTCAAACCTACATGAAGACAAATGATGATGTATAATAGATAAGTTTTAGAAACCAGATTCTCCTGAAATCTTTTTTCATAAAACAACTTTTGAAGCAAATAGAAGCTCTGCAAACATTAGAGATATAAGTAAAATTATCTCTATGGCCAAAATTTCTCTCAAGTATTGAGATAAAAAAGCCAAGAACATCTGTATTATTTGTTATTGACTATATGAGTAAATAGCAATGTACAAATATTACTACTAATAATTAGTAATTAATAGAAATAGTCAATGTGGCTCCACTCTTGGGTAGAGGAGAAAGAGATACCCTCTACTAACATAGGTGTGTAAAAATGTCTCAGAGTTAATTGTGTATTCTTGCATAGAACTTTCACCCTGTGGTAGGATTATGACAATTGTGAACAAATTTACCAAGATAAATCTGGGCAGGCATTCCCATGGGAACACATCTCTTTATGTTTCCTTTTTTAAAAAATAGCCTTGGTTTACGTTTTTAGACACTGCGTTCATTTTAGTGGTAGCTCAGGTGATGAATTATGAGAAAATTTATATAAGCTGACAGATTTTTGTTGTGCTGATATTAGTCTTCTTTCTATAAGCCCAGATAAAATGTATAATTTCTTAGAAAACAGTTTACCAAAATTAATGCCAGAAGAGGCAGAAAACTTAAACTAACCAATTTTCATAGAAGAAATAGAGAAAATTATCGAGAAAAAACAAATGATCACAAAGAGACACCAGATCCAGATGACTGCACAGGGAAATTCAACCCAACTTTTAAAGACCAAATAGTCCCAATATTTTTAAATTGTTTCAGAGCATGGCAAATAAGGAAAATTCTCAAATTATTTTAATGATGTAAATATAACATCAGTACCTAATCATAGTAATGGTAGCACAAAAAAAGAAAAGTAGAGAGCAACATCATTTATGACAACTGATGCAAAAATCCAAAATACGATTTAGAAATAGATTCCCTAGCAACACTTAAAAAAAAAAAAAAAGCACCACACCATGACTTGATATTTATACGAAGAATGCAAGAACCTGTTAGGACTCTGTTAGGAAACCCACTATTAGAGTGCACAATACTAATAGGACTAAGAAGAAAAATCACATGGTTACCCCACAGATGTTTAAAAAGCCTTTGAAAAAGTTCAACTTATTTCCTATAAAAAAGTAAATTGCAATGAATTGGTTCTTAACATGTGGAAATAAACACTCTCATACACTGCTTGTGGGAATAAAAAAAGATACAATTCCATGTATCTACAAAACATCCCAGCCATTCCACTCCTAGTTATTCAAGAGACTTAAATAACTCTGTATTAGGCCTTTTTTGTATTACTATAAAGCAATATCTGAGACTGGGTAATTTATAAATAAAATAGATTTAATTGACTCATGGTTCTGCAGGCTGTATAAACATGGCACCAACATCTGCTCAGCTCCTGATGAGGGCCTCAGAAAGTTCACAATCATAGCAGAAGGTGAAGGGGAGCCAGCATGTCACATGGTGAGAGCAAGAGCAAGAGAGTGAGAATGGGGAGGTCCCAGACTCTTAAATAACCATAACTCACATACACTAACTGAGAACTCACTTATCACAAAGGAGATAGTGCTAAACCATTCATCAGGGATCTGCCACCATGATCCAGTCACCTCCCACTCGGCCCCACCTCCAACACTGGAATCACATCTCAACATGAAATATGGAGGGGACACACATTTCAGCCATATCAGCATCTTTATAACAGCCAAAAACTAAAAACAATCCAAATGTCTATTAAGAGATGGATGTATAAACAGTTTCGTATCTGTATGGTGGAATACCACCGAACAATAAAAAGGAGCAAACTATTGATGCACACAAACACATTCATGGATCTCAGAATCATTATGCTGACTGAAAGAAGCCAGACAAAACAGAGTACATCTATATAGTTTCATCTATATATAATTCTACAAATGGCAATCTAATCAATAATGACAGCAAACAAATCTGTGATTGCTTAGGGATGGGGCAAGGAAAATTTGGGGGTGATTAATATGTTCATTATTTTTGTAGTGTTTCTTGGGGGTATATATGTCAAAAGTCATCAAATTGCATGCCACTCAATATGTCACATTGCAACTAAATATTTTCCTGAAATTTAGGGTTAATCCTGTCACTCTGCTGTTTAAAATAATCTGACGGTTCTATCTGAAGAATACAGTTTAATTATCTGCCTTGACATTCAAGCTCCTCAATAAACTGGCCCCAATGTACTATTCCAGAATCATTTTCTGACATTCACTTTCATGCCCTCTACGTCTAACTACAATGGACTAGTTTCCATTCTCTGGATACTTCGTGCTGTGACCATGATAGCCAGAATGTCCATTTCCTGTGCCTTTGTCACACAGTTCTAATGGCACTTCTTTGATGAAGTTTTCTTCATTTAGGAAGAATGAGTAACAACATACTTTATGCTCCCATAACATTTTGTCTATGCTACTATTATATAATTTCTCATATATTATAGATATTTGGTTATTTGTCTATTTCCCTAACTACATTATTAGCTATTTGAAAGCAGGAGCCATGTGTTTGTCAGTCAAAATTTTTGCACACTGCCTAGGACACAGAAGATGCTCAATAAATGTTTGTTAATACTTCTAGTAAGAAGTGAATAAAAGCACATGAGCCTTCCACTCTGAATTCTCATTAATATATTCATTAAAATAGGTAAATAAGTACCCCCTGAAACAACATTCCAAATTGAGAATAAGAATTAAACATATATCAGAAACTTGGAGTTTTACAAATTTTCACATCAATGGGTCAGGTTAATGATCTGTTTAGCTCACTTTCTGAGCTAAAACGCCAAGACTAGAAGCAAGAGTAGGACTTGGCTGATTTAATGATAGCCGCAAACAAGGAAGGTCAGGAGCGGAAGCAAGCAGAAAGGAAAGCAGGGTCCCAATGTAAAAGGCAAAAATGTCCTCATGAAAGCTTCTTACAGAAAAGCTTTTCTTTGATGCTTTCTTTTACCTTTGTGTGCCAATTACATTAGAATCTAGTGGTATAGGAAAAAGCCTGTACCTGATCTTCAATGAGAAGAACCATATGTGATGGCATTGGTGTACTTACCACTAGAGAGGAAGCCTAGTGAAAAGCTTCGTCCTTCCTTCCTCCAGTTTCTTGTCAATGCCTTTCATTGGCTGACTCCATAGAAACCATTAATGTCATCCATAAAGGCCACCTGCATGGCTCACAGAGCAAAGTGAAAGAGGATAGAGACTACATATAGTGGCACATAGTGGGGCAAACGGAAAATATCTAGCATATTTCACTCCCTTTTTTAGCATATATTCTTGTTCATATATCTTGCCCTGGTGAAAAATGTATTCACACAAAATCCCCAGTAACATATCATTATGAGGTGATGCCAAGTCAGTTATACTCTTACCTGAAACCTAAAATCTTAGCTACCACCTGTGCTTCCACATAAGTAGCAAAGGGAAAAAAAGGAAGCCAAAGGAAACAGATCACGAGACCCATTCTGAGGTTTGTGATGAGTCCTGGGTTGATTTTCAAACTTCCTTCTTTGATAACTCTTTTATGGTCCTCTTACCCTCTCTCAATTCTTGAATGGAAGGGATAGTATGAAAATTGGTGTGACTCAACTTTTCTTCCTGTAGAATTTGGGTCCTTGGTGGACGTATCTTCCTTTGATCAATACGGTTGAGTAAGGACTTACTAAGAAGTGCTGGGTTTTAGATATAGTTCTCTATTGCCCCCATTTTGTAACGGAAACCTAATTTCTCCTTGGTAATCAAGATCAATCACACCGTACACTAACCTTCTTTCCTGCCTACTGGTTAAGCAGTACAGACTGTTAAGAAACAGCCTCAGATTCTAGTTTAATGGAACTATGACTGTTCCCTCCCCAAAGCATTCCTCCCTGGAGCACTAGGACCTTCAAACCCACTGAGCTGAAAGTCATGAGGAAAAGAACAAAAATTGTGTTCAGGAGAGGATTTGTTGTAACGTAATTGGCACACTTTCCCCTCACCCTTGTTTCCTACATTGGTCACTAGATTAAGACATAGCAAATCCAGTAGACCAGCACCCCAATCTCCCAGATGTTATTTTCGTGAGGAGCCATACTGAGTCTTCAAAAAGCCATTCCATGATTCTAACAAGGCAACTTCTTTTAGGTGATGTGGTTCATAG